TTGGCAAGCAGAATTTGGTTTGTGCACAGGGCAGGTGGCTACCAGTGTATGCTCTTTGAGACTTGAAGCTATTTTAAATATGTTTAAAGACTTAAAGTAAATCATGTCTAAAGAACTAAAGGAAAGTATGAGGATAATGCCTCACCAAATAGAGAATACCGATGAAGACAGAGAAATTATAATAAGGAACCAGACAGAAATTCTGGAGTTGAAAAGTACAATAATGGAAAAGAAAAATTCACTAGACAGGCCCAACAGCATATCTGAACAGGCAGAAGAAAGAACTAGCGAGCCTAAAGATCAGTCAACTGAGGTCACCCAATCTGAGGAACATAAAGAAAAAAGAATGAATAATAATACACAGAGCCTCAGAAACCCGTAAGACACCATCAAGCATGCCAAACACACGTAATGGGAACCGCAGAAGGAAAGGTGAGAAAGAAGTAGAAAGAATATTTGAAGAAATAAGGACCAAAATCTCCCCCAGTTTCATGAAAACTATTAATCTGCGCATTCAAGAAGCTCAACAAACTCCAAGTGGGATAAACTTAAAAAGATCCATGGCTGCGCACATCAAAATGAAACCACTGAAAGACAAAGACAAAGAATTTTGAAAGCACAAAGAGAGAAACAATTCATCAAATACAACGTTCCTCAACGATACCAACGGCTAATTTTACATCAGAAACCATGAAGGCTGGAAACAGTGGGATGGCACAAAGTTCTTAAAAAAACAAAAAAAGCTGTCAATCAAAAATTCTGTATCTGGCAAAACTATCCTTCAAAAATGAAGGATAAATTAAGACATGTGCAGATAAACTGAGAAAGTGTACCTCTAACAAGAGCGTTTGTCTCTAACAAGCCTGCCCTACAAAAAGTAGTAAAAGCAATCCTTCAGGCTGAAATGAAAAGGCACAAGATAGTAACGTGAATCAACATGAAGAAATAAAGAGCACTAGTAAAATAAATTATGAAGTCAGATATAAAACACTACAAATTTATTTTGTTGTTGGTAACTCTTTTTTCTGATTTAAATAAAAAACTGCATAAGGCAATAATTATAAATGTTGATGGACACAAAATGTATAAAGATGAAATTTGTGACAATAATAGCATAAGGGAGGAGACAATAGGACCACTTTAGAGCAACATTTTTGTATACTTGAAATTAAGTTGGTATTAACATGAACACATGGTTATAAATTGAGATATTAATGGTAATCCCCAGGGCAATCACCAAGAGAATAATTCAAAAATATATAGTAAATGAAATAAGAGAATTAAATAAAACATCTATTTAACATAAAAGAAGGCAGTAAAGAAAGAATACAAGATTTAAAAAAGACGTATGATATATAGAAGATAAATAGCAAAGTGGCAGACAAATCTTACTTTTTCAATTATATTAAATATAAATAAATTAAACTTTCCAATTAAGAGATTGGAAGAATAGATTTAAAAAACACTATCCAACTATATGCTGTCTGCAAGAGACACTGTAGATTTAAAGATACAACTAGATTGAAATTAAAAGGATGTAAAAGATATACAATGCAAACAGCAATAAAAAGAGAGCTGAAGGGGCTACACTAATATCAGATAAAATCGGCACAGTGGCTCACACCCGTAATCCCAGCACTTTGGGAGGCCGAGGCAGGCAGATCACCTGAGGTCAGGAGTTCAAGACCAGCCTGGACAACATGGTGAAACCCCGTCTCTACTAAAAATACAAAAAAATTAGCTGGGCATGGTGGCGGGCACCTGTAATCCCAGCTACTTGGGAGGCTGAGGCAGGAGAATCGCTTGAACCCAGGAGGCGGAGGCTGCAGTGAGCTGAGATCGCACCATTGCACTCTAGCCTGGGCAACAAGAGGGAAACTGCATCTCAAAAAAAAAAAAACAAAACTGAAGTTTGAGACAAAAATTGTTACCAAAGACAAAGAAGGACACTTTATAATGAGAAAAGGTCAGTCCATCCAGAAGAAATCACAATTATAAATACATTCGAACCTAGCAAGAAAGCCCCAAAATACATGAAGCAAACTGAGGTCTTTGAGAGTAGAGAAGGCAGCTTTGTCCTAAATATTTGACTTCCATAACCCATTATAGTGGTTAATATCCTATCACTAGGGACTCGTTCCTTTGAGTTAAAGGTTTGCCTCCCTTACAGTTCTTTGTTAAAGTATAAATATGGCCTTGGACGCCACCAATTGTGTTGTAATTCCATTTAGCTGAAGTTGGTTCAAGCTCCGTTGGAGCAGTGACCGATAGTGACAGAGACAAACGGTTGAGCCACTTTTAATAGACTCTGTAGGTATGGCCTGGCCTGGGCCCAGGAGGAAAGCAGGGAGAAGAAGCCTCTCCAAGAGGGTAGAAGTATTAAGAATAGAGAAAGAGTATAGGATGAGGAGCAGGCAGAAAGCTAAGTTATCACAGGGGAACAAAAAAAGTCCCACAGAGAGTGTGGGGTGAAACAAATGCTAGACAAGGAGCAAAGCAGCTGGGGCACTGGGTTGTGATGAGGTTCTTGGTTTGGCAACTCAGGGCTGAGGGCAGCATCTGTCCCTAGAAGAAGCAAAAGGTGTAAGAACAGGGAGCAGGCGAGAGCCAGGGATGGCAATGAGCACAGGTCATTCATTGGTAAAGACCCAGGAGTTGTGCCCAGGTCTGAGCTGCCGAGTGGTTCCTGGAGCACCACAGAGAGGGAAGGAGAGAGAACTGGGTGCTGGAATCAGGCAACAGGCACTGGAAGCCTATAGGCACTGATAGAAAAACCAGAAACCTAGGAAACTCATAGGCACAAAGAACAGCAAGAGGCAAGCCAGACATGAGCTCAGAACTCGGGCAAACGGATGCTCAAATGAGGTTGTGTTTGTGAACGTGCCCAGTTCTGGGCAGATGCTTAGTAACTGTTAGCTGGTTCTAAATATAAAACTGAAGCAAGGCAAGTGGCCAGGACAGCAACTCGATGTTGGCAACAAAAATAGCCCCTACTTATTAACACCTCTTATAGTCTGGGCACGTTGCTAGGTACTTTATATTCGTGACCTCATCTAATACTAAAATGACCCTGTGAGGTACACATTGAAAATTTCAATCTACAGATAAACGTGGATCCTGGTTAAGCGACTTGCTCAAGGCCATTACGATGTGAATGACACAGAGCCAGAGGTTTCTCTGGCAGCCTCTGGGCCAGAGTGACAGCCCAGGGCGGCTCTGATCAACATGGTGGCTTAAAAGGAATGGGAGGAGGGGAGCTGACAGCTGGGGACAAAGAACTGCTCAGAGTTCCTCTGGAGTCCCAATCCTCCACTCTTTTTTTAAAGATAGAATCTCATTCTGTCCCTCAGGCTGGAGTGCAGTGGCACCATCATAGCTCACTTTAAACCTCAAACTCCTGGGCTCAAGTGATCCTCCTGGCTCAGCCTCCTAAGTAGCTAAAGCTACAGGCTCATGCCACCATGCTCTGCTAATTTTTTTTTTTTTTTTTTTTTTGTAGTGGTAGGGTCTTGCTATGTTACTCAGGCTGGTGTCAAACTTCTGGTGTCAAATGATCCTCTGGCTCAGCTGGGATTACAGGTGTGAGCCACCACACTCGGCCCTCTCCTCTTTTTAAAAGGGGAATTGGGGAAGAGAGCATCAGAGGCCTGAAGACCCACCCTGCTCCTTTCTCTCCTTTGAAGACTCATGGTGATTTACCCCACAGGCCAGAAGGCCAGGCACTAGGGCACTAGGGCCACCCTTTCCTGCCCTAAACCTTGCATGGCCTGTTTCTAAATGGAAGAATGCAGCGGAAAGCAGGGGCAAGGAATTAGGAATAAAGACATTTGTGGGCTTAGGGAACCCCAGGAATGGTCTGCTTGCCTCATAAATCCCGATAGCTATAGCTGCTGTTTGTCAAATGCAGAAGAGTGAGTTTACTTTCTCCACAGCCACCATGACCTTCTGTTCTTCCTTTCCCTTCACGCACATCACACACACACACACACACACACACTGGAGGGCCACCTCTGGGTGACCCATGCATCCCCTCTCCCTGCCTCATCCTATTAATGGAACCATCACCACTGCTCTTCCCTAGGGGAAGGGAGTTTCCTGTGAATTCTCTTTAACCTTGGACTGGGGTCCAGGGCCAGCCGATGATGGAAAATAAATACGTCATCCTGTGCATCTGAGCAAGAAGAGCTCAAAGCATCAAATATCCAGTCCCTTCATTTTACTGACGTGGTGGGGGCCAAGGAGGCAGTGGGCTTGCTTAGGGTCATGGAGCACCTCCTGGTACCCAGTTCTCATTTTTGTTCGGCACCCTCCATGGGCTCCCTGGTTCCTGCAAGTGCTCGATGAAAGAGAAGTCTGCAAAAAAGAGGTAGGTACTTGCCTGGGGACCCAGAGAGCCTCTGACTGTTTTGGGAGTCTGGGAGGAGGCTGTTGGAATACCTTGAGAACTCTGGCCAGTGGTCCCTCCCCCATCCATGTGGCTGTGTGGGGTTGTCTTCAATTATCTTGTTGGAAGCCTGTGGACACTTTCTGCCCTTCTCCCTCTCTCTGTGCCCCACTTGGGTGTGGACTACCCACTTTCCTGTGGGGGCCTGGGTCTGCAGGCCCAGTGATTGGCAGTTATCTTTGTAATAACTTTCATTCGACTTCCTACTCAGGGCAAGAGTACTGTGACAGCCGGCTAGTGATGCTGGAGCTGGCTGGGAACTCACCACCACCCAACTGCAGGAATCCCACGGGGCTCAGATCATTCCCCCAGTCCAAGTGCCCTGTGCAATTGCAATCGGGGGTGCTGAAGCCAGCAGCTACATTCTGTTCACTTCTCAAACACCAGCAAAATGTCAATATCACAGCCACACTGAAAAAAAAATACAGTGTTCTGAAATAAAGTAAAAGAAAATAAAATGAAGTCAGTAACTACGGCCCTCGCGCTGGGCCCCACTGCCTGCGTGTCAGTCTACCCTGTTAATCATCACGTATGATTTTTCAAAGAGCTATTTTGAGAAACATTTAGAAAATGGCTTTTATATAGCTATATATACCTCATTTGTACCCTCCAGAAATGGTCGCTCTGTTTAGCAGCAGATGGCTTTTCTCCACTAGTTTTCTTTTCATTTCTCAGTCAAAGTTAAGTGGGAAGTCAACCCACCCCCTAACCCCAGGCGTACACTTATCACCCACAGTCCACCCTGGAGTCAGGGTTGTAGGTGGGGGGCAAGGAGGAAAGGCTGTCGGTTCTCCCTAAGGCACCGTTCCAGAAAACCCAAGGGGACAAAGGCAGCGGGCATGGTGCTGAGAGGGAAGGCTCAAAGCTGGGAGTAAGGAACGAGCAGAGCCCCCGGGCTGGGGGTAGAATAGAATGTGGCCACCCTGGTTTGCTGCAGTCAACAACCTGGGTATCTCGAGGTCCGCGAAGCAGGTATAAAATATCCCTTTGGCCGCTGGAGAACAGGGGCCAAGCAAGATTAACCACCCTGGCAGCACCTGAGTGCTGTACCTTTGGCCTGCAGGAAGCTGCAAGTCGGGCCCCGCATGGTTGTCATGGCAACAGCAGTGCTGAGGCTCCGAAGGGCAAGGGGAGGAGAAGGGGGGTGGAGAAGGCACGTGGTGGCTTTTCTGGAAAAGCCCATCTGTTTCTTTCCCTTAGGAAACTAAGTCAGGGAACACAACAACGACGACAAAGGAGGGATGGGCATCTGGGGTCTGGAAAGAGAAAGGACAGAAAAGACTCTGAGATGCTCCAAGAGCAGCTCTCCTGATGGGATGTGCTTCCCTTCCTTTTGGGGGAGGCGAGTGACTGACAAAGAAAAGGACTGGGCGGGCCCCCGTGGGCGGCATCTGTGCAGGAGCCGTGTGCAGGATCAGGGCAGGCTCTGTGACCTCAGGCTTGCTGGGGGCCGTCCTGGTAGGACCCTATCAGCCACAGCAGGATTTCTTCTTAGCAGGGTGGCCGACCTGAATGGTGTCCTCTCTCACTGTGTCTTCTTGCTCCTTGAGGAACCTGGGAGAGGGGAAGAGATAGTGTCAGTGATGGAGAAGTTGATAGGCGCAGGGGCTGGCAACCTGGACCAGCCACCCTCAGGTTACAGGCCATCTGGGCCGTACGGAGAGAACCCACCCTCACCATGGCATCAGAGAGAGTCCTGAACATCTCCCCCTGGACAGTACAGGTGCACAACTGTAATTGTAAAGCCAGAGAGTTTAGTCGACATGGATCCTTCAAGACATCTCCTCCAGGAAGCCTCTCTGATCCTCTAGGTAAGCCCATGTGCCCCTGACAGCATCTGACCCTTCCTCTGTCATGACCCCACCACCCAGCGTCACAACGCGTGGCTTCCCCGGCTGTCTCCCTCGGCCGAAAATGAGTTGCTTGGGAGCGAGACCTCTCTTTGGTCTCCGTGCCTCTGCAGTCTATCACAGTCACCAGCACACAGGCGAGGCTCCAAAATATACTGATGGGTTGTGACCTCTGCAGTAGGGCTGTGCCATGTGGCCAAAGCTCCAGATTAATTGTAGGAGGTGAGGAATTAAAAATAATGGTGAACACCTTGTCTCTGCTTTATACTTTCAAAACGCTTTTGCATTACACGTCTCCTTGGATTCTCTCAACAACCTGTGAGTGGGCAGGGAAGGAAGGCATGACTGGTGTTCCTACCTTCCTGACAAACCTCAGAGAGGCAGGGCGTTTGCCCAGGGAGTCAGGGGCAGAGAACAGACCAGAATGTTTCCTTCTGATACTCCATAACCCCATCACCTCGCCAATGCACAGAGGAGTTGTTCTGCGCTCTTAATTACTCAAAGAAAAATATTTTTAAATGCCCCAGAACGAGTGCTGAGCACAAAATGGGCTCTGTTAAGTGTTTATTGGATGGATGAATAGATGGAATGAAATGATGGCCTAGATGGATGAATGAATGAGTGAACGCTTAAGTATTGGAAATGAGTCCCAGCGTGGTTTTGTTGTTTAAATTTCTGGTGTAGGCAGGGCCTTAAGGAACCAGTCTTTTCATGTTACCAGCATCATTACCTTGGTTACCTCCCATTGATTCCCCATCACAGCCCCTCTTCTTTCTGGTTTCTACACCCACTCCTTCCTCCCACACCCAGGAACTCATATTATAACCCAATCTTGCCCCCAGCTGGCTTCCAGCTAGTCCCTGCTAAGACTTCAGCCAGTGCTGAGGAGCCTCTGATCTGACCTTTCCCAGAAGGATTTGCATTTAAAAAGAGCATCCCTAGGAAAAGGCAGCCTTTAAGACTCAGAAGAAGACTGCAATGGGGGCGACAGGCAGGGATGCTTTCTTTCCCAACAGCATTGTTTCAGAAAGCTGTTCCTGATGTTGCAATCCCATACAAAGGCCTAGGACCCCATTGCCTGTACTCAGAGGGCTCCGGCCAATAGGGAGGAAAGGGGGTCAGAGGCGTGGCCTGGGTGGCGGGAAATACGGTGCCTCCCTGAAGGCAGACACAGCTGGACACAGCAGTTACTGCACCTGGGGAGCACGTCTCTTTACCTGGCCAGATGGAGCAGGGACTCTTTGGTGTTGTGACCAGAGTAGGCGCTGCATTCATAGAAGATCAGATTGTTGTCCTGGAATCATAAAACAGAGTGAATACAAGAGTACTGGAGTGAGAGGGGACTGTGGGGGGTGGTGGGAGACACCCCTTGTGCATCTACCTACAGCCTTCGCTTCCTCTCGCAGGCTCCTTGACCTCCTCATAATCCTTCCTCACTCTGTACATGGCTGATTTCTGTCTCCACAGGCTCCCTGACTAATGCAAGCTCTGTAACCATCTCCCAGGTGAGCTATAACAATTGTAAAACAACGAAACCATATGCTGTCTTAGTGCCTCTTTATACTTTCCCAAACTACTGTCAAGTACACACATGCTCATTCCAGGTTACACCAGCTCTGTGACTCAGGCAAAGACACAAAGGCCAGGGCGGGCAACATTCTTCCCCCTTCACAAGCAGGCAAGCTGCTGTGACAGAGGGCACTTGGCTGGCTCGTTCAGTCCCACAGTGAGTCAATGGCAGAGCTCCTTGCAGCATGCTTTCCCCAAGACAGTGGCACTCCATAGGCCTCGGGGACAGGTTTCATGAGGCACTCCAGTAGGAATTCTCTTTCACCCCAGTTAATTAATACTCTAGCTGCCCTGGCTGTCAGCACTGGTGCACTGGACTGGCCATCAGCTCATTAGGATGAGGCTGTGCTGCCTGCATGGTGCGGGAGCCCTTGGCTAAGGCTCATCGTATTCCACTGATCACTCCCATTAACAGATGACTGGTGTCATGACGACAATGCTGATGGCACAGGGCCCTGGTTTTAGATGGCCTCTTCTTGGAGGCTGATGCCCTGAGGGGATGCAGGCCAGCTGAGCAAGGACAGTTCTGTGGCTGTAGCTCAGGAGGCTCTGCCATGCTCCCAATGCAGCTTTCCCCACCTACACCCACAGGCAGCTCCGCCCTCTGCCCCTCTCACCCAGCCCCAGGGGCTCTCTCTCTCCCTGTCCGCCTTTCTCTCAGATCTGCCATCTCTTGGGTCAGTCTGTCAAAGAGTAGAAGTTCCATGGGGTGGGAATAGTGGGGAGAGAAGGACATAGGACTTAGAACTGGAAGACATGATTTGCCTTCCTGCATTGAGTTCCGATCCCACCTCGGATGAGCTGTGATAATACGAATGTATCACTTAACTCCTGAGTCTCAGTGTTTTGTTTTGTTTTTTTTCCACTGACAAAAAGAAAGAAAGAAAAGAAAAGAAAATGGATAGACTCTTTAGGTCCAGGTGTATTTTGAAATCCAGAATTTTCCGAATCTTAGAAAGGTAATACATGTATATATTATGTATTATATAACACCCTCAGTGGATTTTAGACAGCACTCTATAATCAAACATATTACTATTGCTTCAGTGAGACATGTGAATATTCACCTTTTCAAAGCGAGGTTACAACCATGAATAGCCTCATGTCATTTCTGGTCAGATTTTTCTGCCAGATAAAATGCAAAACAACTCTTTCTGTTTTCAGAGCTTTTTGGATTTTGGAATTGTGGACATGTAACTGTCTAGTGACCCTCCATGTAGACACCTGTCAGGCCCTTCCTCCTCCTTTTTCCTTGAGTCTTACCATCTGTGCTTATTCTCCCAGGCTCTGCACTCATGAAACCCTGTTTAGGACGAGCATGTGAAGAATTACAGAATCATGGGGCTGGTAAGCACCCCATCCTTCCAGACACACAGTTTCATGAAAACCAAACTCTGAGGCAGTAAAAGAAGCCAAGGAACCACGCTTTGTTGCCTGATTTCTGTTAAGCCCCATTGATTCCATTTTTGGGCAAGAGGCCCCATGCTTATTTTAATGGTAGGTTTTCCAGTGTGTCTCCTGGGTTTATCTTGAGTTCACAACTTTGAGGCTCCATCCTGACAGAAAGGATGAACTCTCTAACACAGCGGTCTACAGAAGAACACACTGCTTTACAGAGTGAGCTTCTCATCCCTGGGACTGATCAAGTGGAAATGCAGATTGGAGGGGGACTGAAATAAGTAAATTATTGCTATCTTAGAATTTATAATTCTGAGTTACAAGGAAGGGATTTAGGATAATTCCCCACACCCTAGTGGTCCCTAACCAACCCCGTCTTGCAACCTGTGGCTTTCTGTGCAGAGTTCTACATGCACAGGAGCTGGGCCACTCCCATGATGCCAAGGCACCCATCTTTCCCAGCTGCTCCCTTCCCATGACTTCCAGAGAAAGTCCCCACCAAGGCTCCTGGGCACTTGCCCGACTTCCCTCAGGGTTACACTCTGTCGCTTGCTCTTTACCTTGGCAAGCTGCTCTCCGAGGCCCCGGGGGACTTCCCGCTCTTTCTCGTTGTCAAGCTTATTACCCAGCAGAAGAACAGGAACCCGGTCTCCCACAGCTTCCTGCAGAACAGAAAATGTTTTCAACTGAGAGGGGTGTCACAGGATTGCCCAGAGGGCAGACTGACAATGTCAGCTGGACAGATGGGACCTGGCTTGAGAATGCCCTGCTGCCATAAAAAGTGAGGCCGTAATAGAATCATCCTGAAAGCAGAAAACAGCCGCCTTCTCCAAGAGCCTCAGTTTATCACATTTCTGCAAGGTGCCCCAGGCCTGCCTGTGCTGTCTCCCAGTCCCTGTGTGTGCAATGACCACTCCCACTTCACGATGCTCCTTGGATCTTAGATGGAACAGCAGGCCTCCAGGTGTGCTGGATGAGGGGACAGTTGATGCCAACAGGCCACATGCCCCCTTCCAGGGCATTCCTAAATGGCCAGGCTTAGTCCGATGGACCAAGGCCATCAATGCCCCATGGCTTGGAGTTGTTCTGGAGGCTGCTTTGATTAGAAACTGTATCACCAGAGGCCTCATGATAGCACATAAGCTTCTGAGGGTTGGATCCAAATCTGCCTCATGGTCTTGCGCCCACAAGGCTCCATAAATGACTGCCATGTGCCTTGCTGGAGGCGGGCACCACAGACCCCTGTCACTGGGTGCTCTGGCTCTGAAGAAAGCCCTTCATGAGGCTTTCTTGTTCCGTATGAGAAGGAACATTGTGGCCATAGCAGCTGCACTACTTGGGCCAGAAGTCACAGGTTTATTCAAGGTATCACACTGTTTACTCCCACAGTGGCTGTGGCTTACCAGCCAGGGGCCTCCTCCCGGGTCTCCGCCTCCTCCCTGGTGAAAGGAGCACTGTAGGCATCTCTCCTGAGGGCGCCCAAAGGGCCCGGGACCACCGACTGCCATTCAGTGAGTGAATGTGGTAATGTGCACATTGAAGAAGGTTGTTATTTTTACTTAAATATTTAATTAGGGGCTTTTAATCATAATTTAGTAACAAATAGTTATTCATTGTAGCTAAATGTTTTACTAAATAGAGGGACCTGTGGGATAACAGAAGCTAATAAGCAGTTACAGTTTTGCCAATACTTTAGCTGCTTTACTTGAGCATTTCAAATAAATGTCCAAAGTCCATCTTACAGGTATACCGATTTTAAGTTTAAATGCTATTATGTTTGAAATTAAGCCTCAATGTTTCCTTAATCTGTGCATTCATTTTTACTGCAGTTCAATAGGGGGAAAAAAATTCTTATTTACCAAACGAGAAAGTTAAGGCTCAGAGAATCCAAAAGAACCTTCAACACCATAAGCACTGAATTATGAGAACTCTTGAGTATATGGGTCCTCATTCTTCAGCCTTTTCCTCTAGATTCTTATTTCCAATCAAGTCTCTGCTACTTAGTGTCTTATTAACTGGAACTCTCTAAACATGGTATCTATTGGTGAGATGATAATGTGTGTTTGCAATGATGACCCAAAGGCACTACAAGATCTTAGAGTGTCTTCTGACCCCTCAAAAATAGATTAAATTCTGGACACTGCAGTTGATGTGCTAAGTGGATTGTACATATTCCAACTACTTGAAAGTGAGAAAGCCACTCATGGCATATATGAAATCCTGTGGCCCCCCTATTAGCCAGAGCGTTTGCTAATGGGAACACCCCCTCCTCTGACCGTGCTGTGCCACAGGATACTTGTGTGAAGAGCTTTTCACGGAAAGGGAAGAAAGGAGGAGGAAGCAGGGAAATGGGCCAAGCAGCTTGCTGTTTAGAGCACATGGGAGAGAGATATTTGTAGATTTATGTGTGAGGAATGATTAAGGCTTGTGGGATTTCTTGACATGGAAACTCTGAAAATATGAGCATCAGACTTGAAATCCCAGGGCAGAATTCTACCCCGGGTTTTGTTATTATTTGGAATGGGCGATGGCTTGCAGAGGGGATGATGGACACTGAATGACCCAGTAGGATGAGGTAGGGAATGGGTCATAAACCCAACATCTGGGTCCTGTGCACCATAAACAGCAATGGTGCCTCTTCCCTCCTGGGAAAAGAAAGGGCAGGTTTCTTCTTTTCTGCGGGGGGAGGCCGAGGTGGGTGGATCACAAGGTCAGGAGTTCAAGACCAGCCTGGCCAAGATGGCAAAACCCCGTCTCTACTAAAAATACAAAAATTAGCTGGGTGTGGTGGCGGGTGCCTGTAATCCCAGCTACTTGGGAGGCTGAGGCAGAGAATTGCTGGGACCTGGGAGGCAGAGGTTGCAGTGAGCCGAGATCCTGCCACTGCACTCCAGCCTGGGTGACAGAGCAAGACTCTGTCTCCAAACAAAAAAACAAAAACAAACAAAAAACAAAACAAAACAAAAAAAACACCAAAGCAATTCCTGGATATAAAAATAAAGGAGCTTAGAAGGAGCAGAAAAAAAAATTAAAAGCAAAGCATCCAGCAGGAGCTGTGGTTTCTTTGTATTGTTCTTTTCTTACGCAGCCACTCTGGACAACTCGTTTCCCTCCAGGGACCCTGGCCTGCCACCGAGAAAGGAGAATTAGACTCATCTCCAAAGATTTGGCAAAAACAAATGAGAATGTCCATAAGACCAGAGAATGTGCTAACTATCACAGTCAGTCACCATCTCCCCGGCCCGGGTCATCAGTCTCTGGCACAGGGGCAGGGAGAGGAGCTGGTCTTGGGGTAGGTATCTCCTGGTCCTCTCTGACTTCAACCCCAAAAGTCTTGAACTATCTGTCTAAACTTTATACCTTTCTCATACCTAACTAGGTTTTCAGCCTGCATGCCACTTGGCACGAGATGTTCAAAATTACCTCCTCGATGAAGCAACATCTCCTTGAAGCCTCCTAGGGCTTTGGTGAACAGGTCTCAGGTCTACTCGAACTCTGATGTTGAGACTGTGAGAGATGTTGGTAAAAATCCCATCGGTGTGACAGGTCGCAGTGAAGTCATCTCAGCTCCTTCATCGGGCACACAATCTCTCTTCAGGAGACGTGGGTGCTGCCCTAGCTCTGTCACCATCTCTCCATGTGACTCATCTGAGTCTCTCCTCTTCTCTGTGTCTCTGTTCTGAAGCCAGGTTCTGTTCTATGACCCTCTAACAGAGAGCCCTCCCTCCACCTTCAGTCATTTCAGCCGACTTTCTGTGAACTTGAGCTTGTTGGAAGACAGCCTTGTTGAAATTCAAAAGATCACCCATCTCTGACTTTAACAAGAGCTGTCAACTTGCAGCCGTGGATTGGCATTCAGCTCAGAATGTGCAGCTGTTGGGCTTGGTTGGTTGTTGCCTGTGTGCATGTGTGTGTGTGCGTGTGTGTATGTTTTAATATCTATTTGGTAGGAGGCATGAAAAAGCACTTAGCTGGGATGGTGCTGCTATTTCTCTGGAGCCAGAGCAAGAATTTTTTCAGCACATTAAAGCATGCAGTTATGCTAAGAAAAAAATGACTGCAAAATTATATCTTGGGGGTTTCCATATTTATCCATCCCCTGGACTATGAGTCAAAACAAGATTTATTTGTGTGGTTCGTTTTAAACTGCCAGCACTTCAAGCTCAACTTGGAACGTGGAGAAAAAAAAAATCAAACTATTTTTTGCACCATGCTGTACATTGTTACCAATGACAAAGATCGCAGAATGAGGTTGAGCTAGCAGCCCAGGAAGGGAGAGGGAAGTGGGCCAGGACCCCTTGAGCTGAAGAACTGTCCTGCTTTGAGAGAGAAGCAAGAAGGACTGAAAAGTAAATGAACACCTGCTTTTCAGGAGCAGATTTCAGCCATGGACCACAGGACAAGAGAGAAGCAGTGCAGTGTGGCAAAGCCCTAGCTCTGCATCGGGTGGTGCTGCTGACAAGTGTGGGCGCCTCTGGGAAAGTCACTTCCTCTTTTTGGATCATAGTTTTTCTTACTTATAAAACAAGAGGTTGCATTAGATTAATCTCCATGTTTTTTTCCAGCTCGGAAACACTGGTCTATTCGGCTTAACTCTGCCAATTCTATTTCACTTCCTCGACTTATATGCCTAGCAATCTAGTGCTATCAGAACGGCAAGAGGCTCTCGACAAGAAGTTCAGCATCCCAGGACCGCAGACACTGGGGGCCAGCAATCTGGCTCTGGGGGAAATACCAGCCCATACAGGCTTGTACAGGCTGGCGTTCTAAATTCTATTTTCTCTACCCGACACAGGCCCCAGAGTCTCCTGATGTCCAGTTTGTCCCATGGCCACACATGGGGCCTTAGAGCCTGACTAGTTTCTTTTCCAGATTGGAATGGTTAAACCAATTCTACCCAACTGAGATAAGAAATCGGGGGTGGGTTGGAAATGCCGAGTTGGCTGAAAGACTGCCTGCAGTGACTTCCCATCAGGCACTCCGGAGAATCGGCACAGAGTACGTCTGGGCCCTGCCTGGGCCTCTTCTGCAGAAGGCCTGCAGGCCAGGTACAGTTGTCTGGGCTGGGTGAAACAGCAGAACAAGGGTAAGGCCACAGCCTTCCCACCTCATCAAGCAGCACCGGTGCTCTCTTGCACCAAAGGATTTTGGTTCCCTCTGGGCTGGAAGGACCCTCCAGAATCTTCTCACCACACACATTCCTGCTCCGTCTTGGCCTCCCAGAGACAGAGTCAGATGCCATCATACACTGTAGAATTTGGGGGCCAGGAGGGGGCATTTGGTCTGCTTCCTCGTTGAATGATTGGCCAAAGTTTCATGGCCAGGAAGTGACCAAGATGGGATAGTAAGAACTTCCTTTCAGGGAGCTCCACTACCTCCCCCGAGCATCTGTTCCCACCCCACACAACCTCTTCCAAGAGTAAGTCTTTCCCATGCAGGCACGTACAGCCACTGAAGCCCTTTTTTCTTGTATGCTTTTCAGGTTGAGGGAGGAAGGGGGACTGTGAACAGCTGGCCACCATTCACTTACTAATAAGGCTTCAGAACCTTGAAGACTGTTATTAAAGCTCCCCCTCCACCCTCCCATCTCCGGGCGAGGGAGTTGGTAAAGTGCTTGGAGTTCTTTGGAAAAAGAAGGTGCTCCACAAATATAAGGTACTTATTATTTTCAGTTCCCCTCAGATCAAATTAGGTGTCAAGTTTTAATCTATCACCTGACACCTCTGATTGCTGGTTGCCAAGGCAGAATGACTTAGCTTTTCAAGAATCTAGAGCATAATTGCATTTCTGATGCCACTGTTCCACACCTTTGACACACACTCTGCCATTTGACACAGCCTCCTGCGCTTGTTTCTGAAACTCTGCGCTGCTGAACTGAACGCGTTTCCTGGTCTATCACGCTGAGTCCCAGAGCTCCTGGTGTGTGCTGGACATGCCGTAGAGGCTTAGTAAATTCCTGGTGAGGGGTCACAGGCGTCTTTGAAAATGATTGAGAGCTCTTCTACTCAAAGGGTCATCCCTGGACCACCAGCATCAGCCTCACGTGAGAACTTGCTAGAAACACAGAATGGCAGATCCCAGCCCCGACTTGCTGAAGCAGAGACTGCATTTTAAGAAGGTCCCCAGGAGAGTCCCATATACATTAGGGTTCAAGGAGCACTTGTTTAGGCCAGGAACAGTGGTGGCTGAGAATCAAAATTCCCTGGGGAACTGCTAGTTTTGTTTTGTTTTGTTTTTTTCAGGCCCTGAATCACTCTGGGAGAGAAGGCCCTGGCCTCTGTTCCCTTAAAAAGCTCCACATGTGATCCTGATGTTCATCCAGGTTTAGAATCATCAATTAGAGCTTAAATGTATCTTTGGCTAATATCTAAAAAAAAAGGAAAAACTCAAACTACAAATCACGTAGAAAAGCCCTGTCTACACATAAACCATTCCGATTTAACTATGGATAGATTCCCCAGCTGAGCTGGGCTTCCCGAGCCCACAGACACACCAAGGCTTCCATGGGCCTCTTAGCAGCCACACGGTGCAGATGCATTTCAGCCCTGTCCCACAAAGGAACGTTTCTGGAGGATGACTAAACTCATGCTTCAAGCTGTGGTGATGGCCTTCTGAGATTTCTTCACCTCCACCACCAAACTGTTCCATGTCTTCTTCTAGATCCCAGGCTCTGTGCCAGACAGGAGCCTTAGAAATGACACCCCTTAATGACAGCAGAGAGCACAGTTCCACGAATTTGTCACCATCCATTCCCATTAATCCCAGACCACCTGGAGGCTTAGCCCTAGCACACACCAAAATTTAGATATTGGGGGACAACTAAATGTCTGTGAAAAGGACAGGTGACCCTGGAGAAGTTAGGGCTTCCCTTTCTTCACTTTTGAAGGAGATGGCTATACTAGACAGGAGATTTTTAAAGGGAATCCCTTTTGTCTAACAAAATTGTACTTGACCTCCAATATGCTGAAAAAGGCAAGGCAGCTCTGACAGAGATGGGGGACGAGGGACCCGGATCCATGACCACTAAACCTTTCCCTGCCGACCCCCTATCTCTGGGGAATGTCAGTCTGATTCCAGGGCTCCAAGGAAGAAAGTCTGGAAACCCTTGGATTAGGTAATCCCTAACTTCTCTCCTGGTGCTTAACTTCTGTAAGGAAGATAAATCTGCTTGGTGCTGCCAACAACAAAAGTAAAAAAAGAAAAGAAGAGAAAAATCATGTCATAAACTCCAAAGTTTAGAAAGGAATTACGGCCGGATTCACCCATACCATTTGCTTCTATTATTAGTTTGGCGTATAGGCAATCTACCAGCTACATTTCAAAACTTGCATTTTTCTCATTTATAAGTGTGTTAGGCACAGTAATTTTGAGAAATAATAGGTATTAGGCAAATTCTTGAGAAACCCTTGAATCTGGCTTCCATTCTGTTCCTTATTTTTTCTTGGTGATCAGAAGGATGCACATTAACAAGAGAGAGATGGGTGACCTAGACAGGCGAAACTACAGAGAAACAGATTTGGGTGAAAGGGATCACGGATCTTAGAGCCGAAAGGGTCAAAGACATCGACAACTCCAAGATTCTGCCTTCAGAGCAATGTGGTATCCATTCATTCATCCAGTAGTTGTTGGCCTCACGCAAAGCATCCAGGTTATGGCAACGAAGATGCAGCTTCTGTTCTTAGGCAGCACGGAGACACAGGCTGGTAAAGAAGCGATTTGTAGGCCGGGCGCGGTGGCTCAAGCCTGTAATCCCAGCACTTTGGGAGGCCGAGACGGGCGGATCACGAGGTCAGGAGATCGAGACCATCCTGGCTAACCCGCTGAAATCCCGTCTCTACTAAAAAATACAAAAAACTAGCTGGGCGAGGTGGCGGGCGCCTGTAGTCCCAGCTACTCGGGAGGCTGAGGCAGGAGAATGGCGTGAACCCGGGAGGCGGAGCTTGCAGTGAGCCGAGATCCGGCCACTGCACTCCAGCCTGGGCAACAGAGCGAGACTCCGTCTCAAAAAAAAAAAAAAAAGAAGCGATTTGTAGCAGCGTGGTAAGTATGTGACAGTATATGCAAGGTATTATGGACTTGGAGCAGAGAGCTGAACATAAGCTTCATGAGGGCCGCAGCTTTGTCTCTTTTATTCACTGCTAGGACTCCCAGGCCCTAGAATAGTGCCTGCAGGTGTTTTTAACAAATAAATGAACAAACCACGAATCCTGCTGGTGGAAGGGGTGGGACATCCTACTTGGCTGTTCTGTGAAGGAATCAGCCGAGGCCTGGTAAAGAGCAATTTGTAGCTTGTCCACACTGGCACTGGCCTTGAGAAGCCTGCATTGGAGTGGTGGAAAAACTTTTAAAAAGCATGTACAAAGCGACACATTGCAAGTAGGAATCATAAAAGTAGAGTCTCCCAGATAATTCAGAATGCAAAGATAACACAGTTGCTCTTGGGCCCTGCCAAGACCCTTGATTTTGAGGTGAGCCTGGAGCCCTCACATTCTGGATCAACCTCCTCTTGTGTGAAGAGCTGTGACAGAGGCCCCCAAACATTGCATGGTGTGGCTCCTGGGCAGGGCATAGCTGGGCCTACTGGAGCTGGAAAGACTCGGGGGGTGGGGAGAGGTGCTGGTCAGAATGAGGGAAGAATCTGGTTGTGATTCAAACACTGAGTTCTCCAGGACCCTTCCTTGACACTCCACTATGTCCCCTCTCCCAATCCAGTCCCATTCACTCATGGCCCAGCAACGACACAGCTGCTGGCATAATCTGGATTTTCCGTGTCCCTCTCTCCACGAGGGCAGGGACTGTGTCTGTCTTGTGTCTGTCTTCTGGGTCCCCAGGAACTAGCCTGGTACCGGGAACTCGGATGAACAGAGGAACAAATGCCTGCATCAGTTTGCTCCTGGAAAAGGCAAGTTCTGAATCAGATTTTGAAAGTGCAGAGGCTCGGGTGGGAGATGGACAGAGAAGAAAAGAGAAGCTACAATCAAGCCTAAATGCTCCTACGAAGGTCGCCAGCTCACCTCCACGCTGCTCAGCCACCGCCGGACGGACAGGAACGACTGCTTGTCTGTGAGATCGTACATGACGATGACACCATCGGCCTTTCTGAAGAACTGCTGGGTGATGCACCGGTACCTGCCACAGAAGGGCCACGGGTCAGGCATGTATGACCTTCCCTCTGGAGCCCCGAACTTCAGGCAGCTCCTCACCTCTCCTGCCCAGCCGTGTCCCACAGCTGCAGGGCCACCTGAGAGTCGTCCACATTCACCGTCTTCACACGGTAGTCAATGCCTGCAGGGTGAAACGGGCCTGTCAGGCTGCCCTGGGCCAGGGCACCTCACTTCCAAATCAGGAAACGAGGCTTCCAATGTCTGAAATCACATCAGGCCCAAGGTGACAACCCTCCCAGTGCAGCTCGTGGGAGGCAAAATGGAGAAAGGAACAGAGCACTGGATGGGCAGGCATATGGGGCTTCAGCTCTGGTCCTGTCTCTGCCACTTACTAGCTGTGGAACCTTGATCAGATCACTTAACCACTCTGAACTGCGGGCTCTTCACTGTAATACAAGCCATATGCTCTTTCTTTCCCTCCCTCCCTCCCTCCCTCCCTCCTTCCCTCCCTCTTTTCCTTCCTTCCTTCCCCCTTCCTCCCTCCCTCTCCCCCAACTTTCTTTCTTTCTTTCTTTCTTTCTTTCTTCCTTCCTTCCTTCCTTCCTTTCTTTCCTTTCTCTTTCTTTTCTTTCTTTCCTTTCTCTTTCTTTTCTTTCTTTCTTTTTCTTTCCTTTCTTTCTTTCTCTTTCTTTCTTTCTCTTTCCTTCTCTTTCTCTCTCTTTCTTTTCTTTCTTTTTCTTTTTCTTTCTCTTTCTTTCTTTCTCTTTCTTTCTTTCTCTCTCTCCTTCTCTTTCTCTCTCTCTCTCTCTCTTTCTCTGTTTTTCTTTTACCTAAAATCCTTTAAAAGGCCCCCTAGTAAAAATCAAATGTCCTACGGGGATGGCCTCCATCAACCAATCCAAAGGTATGTGGAGGAAGAAGAAGGAGGGGAGGAGGAACAGGAGGAGGAGGGTAGGAACTGGCAGGTAGAGGAAAGGACAGAACAGAAGGGGTAAGAGAAAAAAATCACAGGCAACGTTCACCCTTGACATGGGTTAGGGCTCCTAATCCTACCACTGGGCTGTTCACAACCATCTCTCCAGGGGTGTGACCCTACCTGGGGTCCTCAACCCCAGAGAGAGGGGGCAAGGTCAGTGAAGTGCATTCTGCACCCCACAGCAGCTCTCAGAGGTCAGGACCTCAACCCAGGCGTTTTAATACAGGTCTTCTCCACTCCTGCATCCTGTAAGAATATTCGCAAAGGCATAAAGAGGTTCAAAAGTACATCCCGCCACCAGCACCATAAGTTCGAGATCTTAGAACGTTAGGGTGTCTCCCACAACCTTCAGAAAGGCCTCCGGAGGGCTCAGGAAGACAAACAGCTACGGCAGCTTGGACAGAGAGAGAAGAGACCAAACAGACAACAAAGAGGCAGTGAATGGAAAAGGCCATCCTAGCCGCTGCTGCTGGGCAAAGGCTACTGCATTAAGGACTCACGAGTGAGGAGACGCGGGGGGATCATCCACTTCCAGAATGTCAGGGGCAGCAGGGAGTCTAGAGGCCCTCAGCTTCACAGACGGGGGCCAGAGAGGACTGCGATTGTCTGGGCTGAGAGTGATTTCTCCCATTAACAGAATGCTCTTTCCAGTGTTTCTATGTGCTGCCTCTCTACCTTCACAGAGTCCCCCTGTGACATCCATGTGAGTTATCTGCACACACACGTGCACACACGCATATATACTCAAACACACACATTCACACACACACCGAGAGATGAGGCACGAGTCATGAGCAGTCGTGCCCTGCCCGAGCTGGTCTGGTAGCCAGGTGAGCTGCAATCCCAGCTCTGAGGCTGACTGCCACTCCTGGAGCCAGACTCAGGGCACAGGACACGGGCAGCTTTGTTTCACCTAGAAGGCCCAGGACTAAGTGCTCCCAGCAAAACAGATGACAGTGGCTGGAAGGTGAATCCAAGGGTGCGTTTTCTTCCCGGCTAGAAGTGGAGGGGCTTTCCTGGTCTGTGCTTTGGGAGACAGAAGGGGCTGCCTGCTTTCTGGTAACAACTGAAGGGAAAGGCATCCATGGTCATACAGTTTCAGGGCCAGATCCAAAACCAGCCAGTGCTCCCCGAGGACGGAGCCTTCTGCCTGCTGGTAAGGCTTTGCAGGTAGAGCGGCAGGGAGTTTGCTGCGGCAGCTGGGTCTTGGTTGCCCTCAGCTCCTGCTCTACCTCATGGGCTAGGTGCTTTGCTGGAGGACAGGCAGCTGTCTCTGGCGAGGAGTGAGATGCGCAAAAGAGTGTGCTGGAAAAATGCTCGGTGCCGTGGTGAGCTTGGTGAGACTCCCTGCTGAACACGTGATGTGTTTCTCTCTGCAGCCTCAGACAGGCAGGCCGAGGAAGCAGATAAACAGGCTCCTGGGGGCTGGGTGTGAGGGACACAAGGAGAAGACGAGGGGGTGGGGATGAAGAGGCAGCGTGTGCAAACATGAAGCCAGAGAACACAAGTCCAACAGGATAGTAACACGGAATAAGTGGGGACCGGAGGGCCTGGATTAAAGTGATTTAAAGACGACCACCAGTTCTGAAATCCCAGGAGGCAAGAGACCTGTGTTGTGCGTTCCTGTCTCAGCTCTGCCACTGACCATGGGTGCAGCTCATTTTGCGGGGGTTCTCCCTCCTCATCGGTAGACAGCAGTGGGATGGAGGTATGAAGGGATGAAGGGGCTAAGTTGGATGTTCACAATCTTTAGGTGCGGCTGGAACATTCAACTATCACATCGAGGTGACCCTTGTTTGCAAGCGAATTGCTTCCCGAAGGATGGCTCAAGTCAGGAGCCTCCTGGCACCTTGAAAGGTGCTGTGGAGATGGTGTGGGTTAGTGCTGGGCTGATGGTTGCCAGGAGGGTGACCTTAACCTTTCTCGAGGTGACAGCCCTGAGCTGTCATAAGGCAGGAGCAATGGGGAGCAGTGGCAGCAAGTTGCTCTGGAGAAATACCCTAGGGAGCTGCTACAGGGATTTCTCTGTAGAGATGGGCAGTGGGACAGACACTGGACCGGTGGCCAAGAAAGGGCTGGGGCATTCTGCCAGAAACAGCTTCTGGAAGAAACACCTTGGGTTCTGGCCTGTGACCTAATGCAGGGAGGTTGTGCACCAGTGTGGTGTAGTGGGAAGAACGCTGGACTTGGAGTCCTGGGTTCCAGGGAGTTTGGTTAACTCGAATGATCAGTCTGTTGTGGATCTCCATTTTCTCACTTACAACATGAGAGGATGTAATTAGACCATTCCTAAGGTTCCTTCCAGATCTAGCATTCTGCAAAAACCATCAGTGTTGTCTCCAGGATGCCTGCAGGGCTCAAGCACCTGCTCTTGAAGGAGCAGGCTGGGCCCTGGGTGGGGCAGGCAGGGTGCCCTAGTCACCAGTCACACTGTAGCAACTTGCATTTCACACAAGCCACTGGTCCAGTACAAAACATGCTCTCATGAGGGAGTGGGAGACCAGGAAGTTGGAGGACCCCTCGGAGGATGGAGGTGAGCTGGAAGAACAGCCAAAGCCCTGCCACTGGGCTGTAACTGCTGCCCTTGACAGGAGATTGGATGGAGTCCTGTTCTGGGGGTGGGCAGTTTTGGCCCGAGAGGCTGTGACTCTGTGGCTGTTATATCTCTTTAAAGGGGGCAGCCTGCAGGTGGCTGGTGCGACATCTGCTTCCTGACATGTGTCCCAGAGCAGGGCCTGCAGTGTGGCAGGGAAACTAATTTGAGCTGCTGCTCGAGCATGTGTGGAGTGGTGTGATGAAGGGCATCCTGATTTGGAACCTTTGATTTTTTTTTTCCCCTTCCTAAACTGTAGGGTGTTTCCATAATTGGCCTCCTGGGAAGTGCAAATGAGTCTGATTTTCTATTTTTCAGGGCCTTCCATCTCAGGGCCACAAGTTGAAAATGTAAACAGACCCTGATTTTGTTGTCAGGAGAGGCAGGCCTCATGCACACTGCTCGGGGGACATGGCTCTGAGGCCTGCGGGCTGGGCACCCTCTCCCTGCCTCCCCTAGGCCTGTGCCAGAGCCAAGACCGTAGGGCCTCCCCCATGGAATGCCCTCAGGGAGGGCAAGTTGACCTCCCAGGCGCTGTCTCCTGTGTTACCACACTTAGCACACTCCCAGCTGCCCCTCCCTCGAGACCAGACGTGGCCAGGCTCTTCTGGGTTTGGTTTGCAGGCTCGTGCTTCTTCCCATCTGGGTCCCAATTTTTGTCTTGGGATGCTCTCAGTCTCTGGGTGAAGTTGAGCAGAAGGAAAGGGATGGGAAGATATTCCAGGTGTGATAACAGTGTAAGAAAAGGCCCGGCAGGAAGGACGGGACACCTGAAGCACACAGTCACAGACCCCTCTCTGGGAGAAATGTTAGAAAGGTCAGTTCAGGGTAAGAGAAGGAAAATGGAGTTTCCCCAGGCAGGCCTCTGGGCTGCTCAAAGTTGGTCTTGTAGAACCAGCTTGTCACACAGCCAAAGGTCAAAGATGGTTGAGTCAGAGACCTAGGCTTGGAGGCAGTCTTAGGGTGCTAATATGATTTGGATTTGTGTCCCCACCAAGATCTCATATTCAATTATAATCCCCAATGTTGGAGGTGGGTCCTGGGGCAGGTGATTGGATCATGGGGGTGGATCCTTCATGAATGGTTTAGCACCATCCCTTTTCCTCATGATAGAGTTCTCACGAGATCTGGTTGTTTAAAAGTTTGTAGCACCTCCCCTGTCCGCTATTCCTCCTGCTCTGGCCATGTAAGACGTGCCTGCTTTCCCTTTGCCTTTCGCCATAACTGTAAGTTTCCTGAGGCCTCCCCAGCCATGCTTCCTGTACAGCCTGCAGAACCATGAGCCAGTTAAACCTCTTTTCTTTATAAATTACCAGTCTCAGGCATTTCTTTATAGCAGTGCAAAAACAGACATACAGGGACCCAGTTGCAACCTCTCATTTTTCAAATGAGAGAAAATTGAAGCCCTAAGAGGCATCACATCCTCTTGAGGTCACGCAGCTTGTCAGTGGCAGGGCCTGGATGAGGACTCAGGACTTCTGATGTCTTACTGAACCTCAGAAGCCCCTCCTTCCTGCATCAACCTCTGCTCACCTCCAGAGGCAGATAAGCATCCTCACCTCTCATGGGGTGCTAAGTGCATACAACTCAATTGAGGGACACTATGGCATGGAATAGAAGGTAGTTGAGGGGAAGATATCAGCACCAACCCACTGATGGGAATGTGAACAAGCCTCTAACCTCTCTGGACCTCAGTTTCCTGATCTGTCGACTGGGCTGAACAGTACCTGTCCCCTAGGGTTGTTGTGGAGATAGATGGAAAGGATGACTATAAAAGCTTCTGGTAAATATTCAGGTCATACAAATACATTTTCAAGTACAGTTGACTTATCAGCTTGGTAGAACAGGCATGCAATGTATTTGTTTTTTGTTGAGTGATTCACCTTCCTGTTGAGTGATTCAAGCTAAAAGGTCCGTATGCCCTTGGGTCTCACCACATATTCCAATGCAACCCTCAACTGTGGGTGAAGGGATTAAAGGCCTCCATTTAAATAAAATATCACCCAGAGTGGGAACACATTAAGCCACGATCATCCATTAATGGCTGAGCCTAATGAGCTTCCACATTGAAGTCCAGCTGTCACCCAGCAGGCTGGGGACTTAGGACAGATACAATGTGAAGAAGCCTTCCAGGAGCGAGGCCAGGATGTAGCAGGCCCTCAGGGAGGCAGGGGCATGTGTGGCCGGATGTGGGTCTTGGGAGGAGTCCCAGGCAGTTCTGGGGGAGCAGGAAGACCCAGGGCCCTGCTGACAGCAGGGAGGAGTGGTCAAAGGAAGGGGGCACTCATTGAAGCGGGGAAGGGGACCCAAATCTACCTTTACCAAATTTAGTTCCGTAAACCCAGGGTTGGATTTACGAAGCACTCCGGGGTCCCGTCACACACAGGGTGAGCGTAGCAGCGTGAGGGGAGGCGGCTTCATCTTGCCCCTCCCAGCCGCTCTGTTGAACACAGCAGACACCAGCATCCCTATCGGCCAATCCCCGTGGCCCTTCCAATGGGCCTCTAATGCCCCCTCCCCTGGGCCTCCTTCTCATTAAGTCCTTTCCCAGAGATGGGCCTGGGACCCCCCTCAGGGAGGAGAACTCACCCACAGTGGCCGCCATGCCTGGGGAGAACCGGCCCTCACAGAACCTCCTCAGGAAGGACGTCTTCCCTACCGCGGAATTGCCGACGAACACAATCTTGAAGAGCCGGTCGGGGGCAGAGGGAGAGCTTTCCTCCTGCGGACGGCACACAGTCTGACCAACTGCAGGGAATGGTCCTGCCAGCCCCTGCCCCAGCCACCAGAGGCCCTTCACCCATCCCCACAGTGGCCCTCAGGGGGTGCAGACCGGCCTCCAGACCTGCACCAGGGAGGCTGCCACAGCCTCAGAATGCAGTGAGCATAGTCGGTCTTGGGGCATGGAGGCTTTTTCCAGCATCCGCAGGAGGGAGGAGAAACAGCCACCCAGGTGACATGTGCTGTCCGCCTCCTGTGGCAGGGAGGCAGACGCCGACCCTGGATTCCGGTGGGGTGGAGGAGGCAGCACGTTCACGGATAAGGACAGCTCAGTGCTCCAAGTGCGACAGGGCGCAGAGGAGGGGCCTTACCACCATGGCCTCCCAAAGTGCTGCTTTTACAGGTGTGAGCCACCATGCCCAGCCCACAATTCCTCCAAGAGGAGGCAGGAATTTTTTCTGTAGGGAAGGACAAGGTGGGGCGTTTGCAGAGAGAAGGAGAGAAGGATGAAAGAAGGCTTATACACATCACAGGGACAGAGACGTCCCAGGCTGGGACAGGGAGTTCCTTATTTCAGCCCTATCCTTGGCAGCCTGGACTAAACGGAGAATGCTCTGGCCTCCCTGAATATTGCTCTCCATGCATCTCATCAGCTCCCATCGAGGCACCGCCATCCTCCTTGTGTAACTGAGGCACGAGGGTCTCCACTCAGGAAGCTGGGAAATGCTAGGCTGCTGGGAAAAGCTTCCCAGAGTCAGTCAGTCACTGCTGCTCTGTCTCTTGGGCCCCGCAGAGGGAAAGGGCTGGGACACGAAAGCCCAGAGGGGAGTGAAGTTGACCTAGGACAAAAAGCAAGTAGGAGGTAGAGTAAGGAGCCGCCTTCCAGCACGGCCTGCTGCTGAGGAATGATCATTCACTCCAGGGACCTGCCACTCAACCGCAGGCATCGCGCCTTCAGGCCCAGCTCAGCGATGCCTGATCACATGGGGAGGCTCTTTTGAATCTATTTCAAAGTGAATTTGGGGGAATTAGCTCCTCTCATTAAGCAAATACTATAATGTAGTGGCAGTTGTATTAGCAGTACTTGAGTTTCAGATAAAAAGCCATTAACTGCCTTTTGGAGAGAAATCAATTCCATGCAGTATTTAGGAGAGAATTCAAGGTCAACTACAAAAATTTAAACTAAAAGTTAAAAAAAAAAATAACCACCAACCTGCACTCAAAAACTATGCCTCCTGCCCCATTTTCTTTATTCATGCCATGCACAAGGGCACCAATTCTCTGCTGGTCCCTGTACCTTTAATTGTTATTTGTTTGAGACTAAAACTCAGTGTATCGATCTAATACACCCAAGCACAGTACAGGGCAGGGAAGGTGAAACCCAGGATGGCAGGAAATGGTCCTGGTGGGAGAGGTGTTGCCTGATCCTTAGCCCTGTGGCCACCGCCCCTCCTCAGGCAGAGCACTTTTATTTTGCCCATAGACACATCAACAGCTCAGCATCAGGCAGGACTCACCTCACAGGGGCAGCAAACTCTCAGGTATGTTCATGCACTTAACCCACTGTCCCCTCTGGGGGACAGGCCACCTGCCACAGGAAAATAAGATGGCTGGATTGCGGGGAGGGGGCTGGAGAAGCAGTACCTGGCTGGCAAGTCAGAAGATCTCTTCTCATCCTCCCTCCTTTCATGCTTGTTAATGTAAAAAATAAGCCTTTAAAAAATAAAATTATGCTAATGTTTCAAATTAGGAAATGCACAAAAGTAGAGGGGAAATTAATTCTTCCTAATCTACCCTACCACCCTGAAGTGGTCACTATTCATATCTTTTTATTTTTTAAGAGACTGGGTCGCATTCTGTTGCCCAGGCTGGAGTGCAGTGGTACAATCACAGCAGCCTTGAACTCCTGGGCTCAGAACTCCTGTCTCAGCCCCTGGAGCAGCTAGGACTACAGGTATGCATCAACGCGTCTGGCTAATTTTCTTACTTTTTGTAAAGACCGGGTATTGCTATGTTGCTTAGGCTGGTCTTGAACTCCTGGCCTCAAGCTGTCCTCCCACCATGGCCTCCCAAAGTGCTGCTTTTACAGGTGTGAGCCACCATGCCCAGCCCACAATTCATATCTTGATGCATTCCTTTCAGCTTTTTAAAATATCATCTTTGTTTTATTTATAGAAATTTGAGATACATATAATTTTATCCTACTTTATCATATATTATTAACTTACAATTTTTTTAGTCACTAAAGATTTTTGAAAATATTTTTAACAGCTGTATAATATTCTAGTGAATTAATATACTATGCCTTATGTCCCTATTATTGGACATTTTTCTTTCAACTGTTTGCTATTATAAATAACTCTTGCATTCTTGAGTTCAATCTTTGTCTGATTTTGGTTACTTCCTTACGAAGAATTCCCAGCAGTAGAAGTGCCGGTTCAAAGGATGTGCTATTTTTAAGTTTTTGATTCATATTACCAAATGGGTTTCCAGAAGGGTTGTACCAATTTACACCTCACCAGCCTTATATGGGAGGGCCTGCCTTGCAGGAGCCTTCAAACGAGCATACCTTCCCTGCTGGAGCTGTGGTGTGGCTGCCAGTAAATCGTACTTCCTCCCTGCTGCAGTTCTGTCCCCAGCACGACGGCAGCAGGACCTCGTGGAGTGGGCACAGAAGTGAGAGAGCTCGGTGAGGAGGGCTGGGCTCCCCATCACTGTGGGCCTGGCCTCTCCCCTCTGAGCTCCAACTTTCCCACCTGTCAATGGGGAGAATAAATGTCTGACCTGACTCATCAGATAGCGGTGAGGATAAAATGCCACAGCGGATGTTTGAGCAGATGCTTGAGCCTTTTTCTTCATCCTCAGCTCCTACTGACCTCATGACACTTCTTTCACATTTTAGGGGGACATCTTGGAGTTATATAAGACCCTACTTGTACCCACCGCCAGCAAGTGTAGGTCTGTGCATTGAAGGGGATGCAGAAGGGCATGCAGGAGGGAGGGGGACCCCACATTGGTGCCACCCAGCTCTCCACTCTCCCCTTGCACCAGGGCCCTTGAGGAGTGATCTGCAGGCATGAGTCTTAATCCTGGTCTGAGAATGGTAACCTATGCCAGGAAGTCCATTAGGTAGCTCACACCCTAAGGCAGCCACTGGGAAAAGTTCAAGGTGGCAAAGGCTCAGTTCTCAATGGCTGCGGTGGCGTGCAGGCAGGAGCCTCTTTCAGACTGTTGTGGATCGTTCTAAAGCTGTTCCAGAAGGCTGAGTGCAGGATGAGGGCTCAAGGAGCCTATTCCGAGGCCTGAGTCCCAAACGAGGCAAAGAGCATCTATCACCATGAGCCAGGGGAGCCACTTTTCATATGGTCTCCCTTTTCCTACAGAATTTAGCAGGAAGGCCTGGTGGGAAGTACAGGGTCACACTGAAGAGAGAAGCAGGCGGGGAATGTCGGAATGAAAGTGGGATTCGCTGATTAAGAACCAAGAGAAAAATGATGGTATGCAAACTTTCTAAAGCAGGGCCTGGCTCTGCTAAGAGCAGTTACAAAGCATGCAACTTTAAAAGTATATGAAATTGCATGCTAGGAGCCTAGCATACAGTCTATCTCAAGTAGGTGCTCAATTAATGCTTTTGAATCCGAGTCAGAAGAGAGGGCACAGGGTCGGGAATGGGGCAAACAACTGTGTGATATGATGAGGTTTCTTTTCAAATAATCTGATCAATCTTTTATTCTTTAATTCATAGTACCCCCCCCCTCCCCTGGCTTTTTTCTCCTTTTTTTCCTTCTTGCCTTTGTTAGATGCCCAGGCACACCACAGTACCAAGTGTTATCAGTACCTGCTCACATTCCTTTTCTTATTTGGAAAGAGGACGAACTTTCTGGTTCATTACAGACACCCCTTGCCCTTTCCCTCCACTTTACGTGCCCACCCTATCTTTAAAAATCAAATGTTTAACCAACCGGGATTAGATTGTACGACCCGACTCCAGCCAATGGGGAAAGGGTACAGGGCAGGACTTGCATCAGAAATAAACATGCATCTCATGCCCCTTCGTTCAGGTGTGCTCTCATGGCAACTGGCCAAGGAGGCACCCCTCTGCGCAGAAGTAAAATTGCTTTGCTAAGAATCCTTTGTTCGAGTGTTCAATTTCCTAAGGATTTTGAGCGTTATTCCAAACACAATGGAGGTTTAAGGAGAATTTATCCGGATCCCTGGGTCTCCCTGCATGACACTCAGCTAAGCGGGGGAAAGTGGTATTTGGAGGACACAGATGTGGTGAATCACTGGACCTGCAGCATCTGACCTCCTGAGCTGCCTCTCGGGCGTTTGGCCTCAAATGCAAGGGACAGATCATAGAAGCGATGTCCATGAACCAACGTAGGATGAGCCCTTACCTTACACACAGCTTCTTTTCCAACAGGCTGCCCTCGGGGGGACGTGGGGGTGAGTTTCAGGGGTGGGGCCTCCTGGATTTGTCCCTGTGCCCCTTGGTCACAGACCTCTTCCTCTTCTGGGCATTTGCTCAGGGGTTGCTCAAAGCCGCCATCCAGGAGCTGGGGCAGGGGGTCTTCTTCAATGGAGATGATTCTGCGGAGAGGCCGGGGGTATGGACCCCCAGGCCCTGGCTCCCCGGTTCCTGGCTCCTCTTCTGTTAGGGGATATCCACTCAGGCCCAGGGAGCTTCTCCTTGGGATGCTAAACACCTCCTCCTCCTCCTCTGACTGGCTATTGGGGCGGGGAAGAGAGAAGAGTTGGGAGGATTTCACAAAATATTTCAACACGGGCTGCATGACGGCTTTTGTGACAAACAGATAACCAGGGAGCATCACACCTTTGGAGAAGAGCACTCTGGGAAAGGGAAGAACAAACCAGCCAGCATTCTGCAGCTCGTTCACTCAACACGCTTACACTAAGTGCCTGCTGCCACTGCTGAGGCAGATGATGACACAGATGATGATGATGATGACGACCAAGCATTAAGTACAGATGCCATTTACAGATGGACATAATTCCTGTCCTCATGGAATACTTGATTTAGTGGGGGACTAAAGCAATAATGACACAAATAAATACATCATTTACAAATTGTGAGACTGCTATGAAGGAGAAGGAAAGGTTGTAAAGAAAGAAGTCTCAGACTCAGATACAAAGCACCCTGATTAACATTAGCAGGTGGCCTTGGCTCTGCTCCCAGCGCCAACCATTACTAACTGTGTGTCCTTGGGTAAGACACTTCAACTCTTCAGGCCTTGCTGCAAAATGTGGCCCATCTGCTCTGTCTATTCACAAATAAGACAATACATAAAAACAGACATGTTTGCAAAACATCCTCAGCAGTGTGAGGGGTGCTGTTGCTCTGGGAGGGCCCCCCACCTCCAGATATAGCAGGTCTGCTGGTTCACAGGCAGCTGCCCCCTGGACAGGAGGCTTTGGGTCAGAAGAAAACCAGGCAGAGCATCCCCATCCACCTCTCCTTCCTCTCCCTTTCTCTTCCTCTTTCTGTATCCCTGGAAGTCAAAATCAGGAGTAAATGGTCTCAGAGGCCTAAGCACACACTTGCTTCTAGAAGCATTTGAGCACTAAGGGCAAGGAGAAGCTGTAGGCAGTGCAGGGAAGGAGGGAACTGGATGTGGGGGTCAGTGCAGAGTCTGTACTTTCAGAAGGTTTTGAGAGCAAAGGCCTCACAGAAATTGTCTTAAGGGAAGTTTGACAGGGAGGACCTTAAGTCCAGAATTGAAACACACACAGACACACGCAAATACACACACACACACACACACACACATGCACACATGCACGCAGACTAGAAAAGAAAATGGAATGGGGATGAAGCAATGGGGCGATAGGACCAAAGGAGAAAGGAACTAAATGAAGGACACAGACTATGTAGAACAGAGAAATACATTTTCTTTTGCTCCCTGATTTAAAATATATATTACTCTTAAAGATCAACAGTAGAAAGGAAAAAGAAAAAAAAAAAAGCAGGTATCACCATCCTGAAATTAACTGTGATTCTGAAAGACAAATTACAATATAGTGCTTGTTTGCGGAAAGGGTGAATTAGTTTGGATTCCCTGATATAAAAATAAAGGATTTGCAGCAATTAAAGCACCTTTCCCTTGACTTATAAACACAGTTTTAAAAAAGCCAAGTCTTCTTTCCAGCAAACTTCCTATATATTGTATCAAGCTTATAAAGTGCTTATTTGTTTTAGAACACAATTGGTATTCCCATCTACTTTTACTCTGCTTATACACACCAAAGTGAATATTTGTGTGTACACATGAGCAAGTATGCACACACAGCATGTTTTTTCAAAGGCTGTGCAACCAGAAAAGAAATAGCCACTTAAATAGGCCTTAAAACAAAGCATTCATTGGAAAAAGCTTTTTATCTGGGAAATTCTCAAGCACTACTGCCATTCTGTAATACCTGCATCACGGCACGACTGAGTTCATTTTTGGTTTGACCACCAAGTGCTCTCTGCCATTAGTAGGGACAGCAGCTATTTTTGGCAAAGTCTGCATTAGAATTTGGGGCTCACAATTTGTCGCTTACTTGATTATTGTCTGCTTCTATCACTCAACCAGAAATTCAATGACACAGAGGTAGGTCCATTTTGCTCACTACTGTATATCCAGCAAATAGCACAGCACCTCACACACAGTAGACACTCAATAAATATGTATTAAGTGAGCATTTAATAACGGAGATTAATGGTAGGACCCATGTCTAATTTATTTTTGGAGGCTTTACGGAACTCAAAAGAATGTCTGGAACACAGTAGGTAATCAGTAAACGTCTGTTCAATCAATCAGTCAATCCATTCCATTCTGAGGAACCAACGGGCCAATCACTATTGCAGAAATTGGGCTCCCAAATTGTATCTCATTATTCAGCTATTTAGAACAAGAATTTATGATGATCAGGCCCAAAGGTTTGACTGATGAGCTGATTTACATCTCCAGAGTCACTTCCCCTTTGCATATCTTTTCATTTCATGCTTGCAGTCTTCAAGGTCTCTCTGGGTCTGATACTGAAGGGTCAGGTACCTCTCTCTCTCTGTGGCCATCTATGTGGACACAGCACATGCCAAAACGAAGAGCAGGCAGGGGACTGGTTTGTCTCTGAATGAGCAACGAGCCAACCCTTGGGTACTCAAGCTCAATCATGTGCTGCCCAAGAGCAACAAAATGCTTTACGTTTGAGTTAATTAAATATAAGTCATTGAAACGATCTGTCAAGCACAGGCCCCAGTCTTGTCTGTGAAAGGAGTTAACTATTGGAGATTCTATTTGACACTTTAATTAACCTTCATAGCCAATATAGTCATGTTCCTAAAAACCCAAGTGCATCGGCCGGGCACGGTGGCTCACACCTGTAATCCTAGCACTTTGGGAGGCCGAGGCGGGCAGATCGCGAGGTCAGGAGTTCAAGACCAGTCCTGGCCAACATGGAGAAACCCCGTCTTTACTAAAAATACAAAAATTAGATGGGCGTGGTGGCGCACCTCTGTAATCCCAGCTATTTGGGAGGCTGAGGCAGGACGATCGCTTGAACCTGGGAGGCAGAGGTTGCAGTGAGCCAAGATCGTGCCACTGCACTCTGGCCTGGGCGACCAAGCAAGACTCTGTCTCAAACAACAACAACAACAACAACAACAACAACTCCAAAACCGAGTGCATCCATTCTGCTCAGCGACAACAGTGTTACCCAGCTACACACTCCATCTCTCTCTCCCTTGACCCGTCTCCTCTGCTGCTACACAGTCCCTCTCTGCAGACACACAATAGGGTGGGGCAGCCTCAGAAGGCAACGGTCTGTCCTGGGGGGTTTGCTCTGCACATTACCCTCTGGCTTGGATGTTAGAACAGGGAGGGGAATGTGTTCCAAGATTTGAGGGCAGTGAGTGCAGCTGACCTGAGCTTCCTCACCTTTCAAGGGGTCAGCAGGCACTGAGTGTGGGCCCAGAGCCAGCTCCCAGTGAGCCCGACATTAATGAAGAGATGAGCAAGTAGAGATGACTTACCTCCTAAGAATCCCTCTGCCATCCACATATTTGCCTATCACGGAGCCAGATCTGTTTTTCCAGCTTGCCCTGGAAGCAGCTGTGTTTGCCGTGGCTGCCTTATTTTTCTGTAGAAACACAAAATGCCCTTAGATCCATGCCTATTTGCCCTGATGTTTGAACAGAAAAGGGCTCAAGATTCCCACCTTATAGACTAGGCTCTACACAAAACTCTGAGGGAAGTAAGCAGTGTTCTGGTCACCCCGTTAGCATTTACCCACTCTTCCCTTTCGCCATCATCCCTTACCAGAATCCCTCCATCTCCTTTCCAGTTATCTCATCAAATGAACAAATACACAGTTTATAGCCTGGGGTCCATCCTGTTATTCACAGGAGCACTGATCATTTGTAAAAGGAAAAAGAAGAAGAGATAAGTGTTTAATGCGTATTTTCTATACATATTTCTAATGCACATAGAAAATACGCATTAAACATTTATCTTTTCTGAAAAAAATATCTATATTTTTGAAACAGGGTCTTGCTCTGTCTCCCAGGTCAGAGTGCAATGGCATGATCACAGCGCACTGCAGCCTCAAACTCCTGCACTCAAGCAATCCTCTAGCCTCAGCCTCCTGGGTAGCTGGGACTATAGGCACCCTACCATGCCTGGCTAATTTTCTCATTTTTTTGTGGAGATGGAACCTTGCCATGTTGCCCAGGTTGGTCTTGAATTCTTGACCTTAAGTGATCCTCCCGTCTTACTCTCCCAAAGTACTGGGATTACAGGAGTGAGCCACCATGCCTGGTCAGACAGAAAAAAGAAAAAATATTTACAGGTATAAAAAATTCTGTGAATCTTTAATTCACACTCTACTGTATGGCTCCAATCGCTTTTTATTTCTAAGTCTCAGACGTAATGAGAAAGTAACTAGCCAGGAGGATCAATTAACTCAGCGTTCTGTCCATGTAACTCCTGAGTAGCATAAGGCAGTTCAGCTTTTTGGTGGAAGTAGGCTGGGTATAGATAAATTACTAACATCTGTAACAACTGGGTGGAGCAGGGGTTTACAACCCCCTTAGCCTATGCTCCCTGACAGACGTCTTCCAGGAGATGAGGGGGGAGTTAGACTGCAGGAAATGTCTCTCGTTAATTAGCCATCCCATGATTCCCAATGATCCTTAATGAGAGGAGGGGCTGCAATGCTCCCAGGGCCCCGGAAGGTATGGCTATGCTGATTCCAAATTCATCTTCAATTCTTATTCAGTTTGTCCCTCTTTCTTTGATTCCCCACAGGACTTCTGTAATTCCATGCCCCTTTCAAAGCAGAATCAGTTTGGCAGGTAAAGGGGAGGGAGGTGAAGGGATTAGGGTGACATTTGGTTGGAAGTTTTAAAATAAGTTCAGTGTTACTTCTAAAACAATGATAACCATTATCATCATCAAACAAACATGTGTAGGCTTAAGTCTTGCTCTAATAGTACACATAGGTGGGTGGCAGAGATGTTTGCTGCCAGTAAGTGATGGAAAAGAAACTGTGGCGTAATGCGGTCCCTCAGGGATGTGCGATTATAAAGCAGGTCAGATCTAATGTAGGGCAAACCAGCCACCTTCTGCTGACCATATCTAGGTCAGCTAAGGGTCCAATACACAACAACATCCCCTTTCCAAGAATCTTTCTCAAAGATTCCTATTGTATGGAGCGGGGATGGGAATTCGCTTTCCTCATGTGACAGTGGGGGTCACGGTCCAAGGTGGTAAATGACTTGCCCAGGGACACACATGAAATTCGTAGGATGGTCATCCTGATAATTAGGAAGTCACATCAATCAATTTGGCCTTCAGTTTTCTTCCCTTCAGAGCACCCAGTGGCTCCTGTTTAAAGGGGAAGATGAGTAACAGCATGGAATCCTAGGTTTTAGCCAATGTGGTCCACAGTGAAGGCCTTTAAATAAATATAGGATTTCACATCATTTAGGAAAGTATATACAGATATATAAAAACATACATATATACACACACATATACACATTATATACACACACTATATATATACTACATATATAGAGAGAGAGAAAGAGAGAGACATGGTACTCAGGTATGGAAGAGTAGGGGTCCCTATAGGATAGAGAAAAATTGTTCATAAAATCAAGTATGAAAACAGTGAAATACACATTTCTAATGTGGTCTATGACAGTATAAAAAGGAAAATTTTCAGTGAGATAAAAATTTAAATGAAGAAGCAAGCTGTGAGCATTTTGGTTTAGAAGCGATAATGACATTTCAACTGCGCCATCTCATGGATAGAACTATCATTTCTGCATCCAAGAAATGTGCGACCCTCCCAAATATTTTCGTCTTGTTGTGCCAAGAGGAAACCGCGTTACTGTTAACGCACTGTTACCCAGTAGGCCACCCTGAATTTTTATTAATTGCAAAACGTTTTTATGCTATCATCCTGCCAAATAGATCCCAAGTGTCAGGACATCGCTGGGCCAGTCTCGACATGGATCTGGCTGTCCAGTGGACCACAGCCCTTGGTCCCCCACAGGTAAGGGAGAACTGGCCAATTACCTGAAAACATATGTCCCGTTCATCCCGAAGGTGCTTGTTCCTTTCCCTGTGGATGGTAAAGGGGAATCTATTCAAACACGGAGTTTGCAGTTGACAGATCCAACGGCAGCCAATTCGCTAGTCAGATGGGTGCAGGGGAAGGGGTGGTGTGGAAGACCAGGGAGTCTGTGGAATCTCCTTCCGCAGGGATGTGATTAATGGCAGAGGATAGTTTGTGTGTACAGATAGGTACACACCGACGTGGGGGATAGACTGAATGCCCTTGAGACACCCATGGCCCACCAGGATGATGCGTGGCCTCTCCTATTATTAGGGGCACCGCCTCTAGAGGGGACCCCAGCATTCCAGCTCCACCTGGGAGCTTCCCACTGGGCTCCCTCTTTCTTTCTCTCTGTGCACCATTCATTCATCCATTCATGCACGCATGCACGCATTCACTCAAACGTCTCCTGAGCACCCACTGCATGTCAGGCACTCTTCTAGCCATCAAGGTCACACCAATGACCAAAACAAAACCTTCCTGCCTCACAGAACGTGTATTTTAGTGGAGGGGTATCTGTTATTGAGAAAATAAAGCGGGAAAGTGGAGTAAAAGAAGCCAGAGGGTAGAGCAGTATTTCAACTACGGTGGTCAGTGACGCCCTCACTGACAAGACAGCATTTGTGCAGAACCGTGAAGGAGGGGGAGAAGCATTCCAGGCAGAGGAGGGGCTAGGGCAAAGCCTTGTGCTGGGATACACCTAGTGTGAGCAAGAAACAGAAAGGAGGAAGTAGAGAGCCCAAAGGGTAAGTAGTTAGGAGATGAAGCCAGAGAAAAAGTGGATGGTGGTCAGGACCTGCCTCTTCACAGCCCTGTGGGCCACTGTATGAACTTTTGATTTTTACTCCAGATGAGATATGAAGCCAAGCGGCTGGGGGCGGTGAGGGTGAAGCAGCTGGCAAAGGAATGTCAAGATCTGGCTCCACTTTTCAAAGGATCCCCCTGGATGTGGTGCTAAGAATAGACTGCCGGGGGCAAGCGTGGGGCCCTGACACTTGAGGAATATTTTTAGTAACATGGAGGTCACTGGCCACTGGGGTAAGAACTGTTTTTGTGGAACAGCAGGCGGGGAAAGGCCTGATTGGTGGGTTGAGAATGTGAAGAAAAGGAGTGGAGACAGTGAATGTGAACAACTCTTCTGAACATTTCGTTGTAAAGGGGTTGAAGAAATGGCAAGTAGCTGGGTGGGGAAGTGAGGACAAGAGATGTTAGACAAGAAAATTAGAGTACCTTTGTAGGTATCTTCAAAAGAGATAAAACTGACAATGGAGGAGAGAAAGAACTAACGCTGGAATAGTCCTTGAGGAGCCGGGAAGGGACGGGCTCTAATTCTAGAGTGTGAGTTGGGCACAGGGGTTGGGGGTGGCCTCTGTGATGAGCATGGGGAGTACATCCACCGTAACAGAGAAGAAGGCAGAGACATGGGCATGGGAGGAAGCTCTTATCGAATGGTTCCAGCTGTGAAACAGGAGCAAGCATGAGGATGGAAAAGGAGGAGTCTTTTCTCCAGGACTTAAAGTAGGAGCAGTTGGGAAAGTGAGTTGACTGGGTCTGCTGTGCGACGGCGGAATGCACTTGGGGTTCACAACTGGGAACTTCATCCATTAACACAAGAGGTGGAGAGGGCAGGCCAGATGACCTCAAAGTGCTTAGCAGTTTCGTGATTCTATGACTCTTCTGGCCAGCGGCCTCTGAACAAATCTACACTTCTGAAGGGAAAGGGAGGGCACAGCCATGGTTAGGCCCTAATCATCACAACGCTGCCATTTATGGGGGCACTGACTGTGGGCCAGGCGCTCTGCTAAGTGTGTTGTACACTATAGAAAGAGATTTTAGGTGGGGCCTGAGGAGTCACCACCAGGGCGACGGACTTCCAATTCCGCCAGTCTTACAGAAAACATTAGGAATGTGCCAGGGTGGTTTTCAGTTACCTGCATGAGGTAAGCAGGCAGGCACACAGCCAGGGCCTTCCGAACAAGTCAGGAGGGACATGGAGGTTATTTTACAAGTCCTGAGAATGGCAAAGTGAGCTGCTCATGCCAGAGGGACCCTCACTCGGCACGGAGCTGTGAGTTAGCACCCTTGCACCTGAGCGAGGACCTTGGGAGACCTGGAAAGTCCCACCATTTTTGGAAAGCATGCTGCGTTGTTTCTTCCTTTGTGGCTTCCTGCTTTATGCGGATGTGGCCATCCCCACACAGAAGCCTCAGTATTTAAAGAAACGTATCTGCTTTTGTTCACATCGCTGCTCTACTGTAATTCCTACTCACAAGTATCATCTTATCCTCAAAAGAACCCTGTAAGCTAGGCATGGGAAAATTAAGACTCGGATTGGTTAAGTCAACTGCCCAAGGTCACACAAGCTAATGAGAGGAAGTGCTGGGTTTTGAATCAGATCCAGCTTCAAAGTGCTTGTTCCTAATCAAGTGCCCTGAAATTGCTCGTGTTTGCACCCACCGTCCTTCGGATGGCAGCCCTTCTCACCCCGTCACACCCCAGCTGTCGTCCTGATTCCACCACCATCCCACCCCTGCCCTCCCCCGATATTCCCGCTATCCCCCACACCCACTGCAGCATTCTCTCTCCCTTGATTCCCGGTGGTTTCACTGTGAGGGAGAGATGTGCCATGAGGCCTTCCCTCCAGCTCTCAGCTTTCATTAGCCAGCGGGACTTAAGCTTGGTAACCCTGGATCGATGGCACAGGAAGGCCTCAGCCCCTTTGTGATTCTGCACAAATGCTAGCCTCCATCAAAAAGACCCGTGCGTATTTGTAGAGAGCTGCCTTGGCATTTTCCCCTGTGCATTCTCTTTGAATCTACCCTTTCATTTTTTCCTCAATGCGATAGAAAAAAAAGACCCCAAACTTGTCCTTATCCATTTTGTTCTCTTCCTTTTACTCAAGCCTTCCTAAGAATCAAGACCTTCTCGCACATGGATCACAACTTGGTCACCTCAGAAACCCCCTGCACGTTCCCTGGCTCTGGAGGCCTGACCAAATCATGTACTGAGCACAGTCAATCTGCAACGCATTCAGGTTGAAGCACTTTTCCATTTGGTAGTGTCACAGATGCCAGACAGAGTGAGCATCCCTTGCTTTCACAAAAACAAAAACCTTCATAACGTAACTGGGAAGTGATTCAAAACCACTTGCACTTCAAAAATCAGAACCCAAAGTCCTTCTGTTTCCTCACCATTCCCCCAGAGGTGCCCAGCCGGCAGCGACTTACAAACATCACGGGCAGCACCAAAACTTCCATCTTTCCCCGCACAGGTTTGTGTTTCTGAGGAGGGGAGGGCGGTGCACACTCCAGACCCGTCGACTTTGAGTTTATTGCCGGGGGGTCTCTGAAGGCTGAGGAAGCTTTTTCTTGGTGCTCTGTTTGCGATTCATTTACTCATTCAACAAACACGAACAGAACACAGCCGAGTTACAGATTTCCATTCTGGCCCTATCGGCGGGGAGCTGCGCTGCCTGTGGTAAATCACCTCATTCCTCGAATATCAACTTCCCCGTCAGTTAATTCCTGTGAATTAACCGCCCTACTCACCTAACAGTTTTGCTGAAGATGAAAGAGATGATATTTCTGGCATAGATTAAATGCTCAATAAACCCAGCTCTGCTCCCAGGTGATCCCGTACCAAGCATGGTCCTGTGAGGGACTCAGAAGAGTGGGGCGGAGCCGCCCCACCAGGAGGAATACACTGGATATGGGCGCACGTGTAAATGGACCACACATAACACAGTGGCTACTCAGTGGTCCAAACACTGCGTTGGGGACCAAGGGAATGAGGGCGCTCTCCGCAGGCATATTTTTCTAGCACGTAGGCAAGGATGACCCTCAGACTGGTCCTTCCGACCCCAGGCTTCTGGGAGGTGCTCTCAGCACAGGCCAGTGCCCACCGACGCACCTTAGGAAATCCAGCTGCTTGAGGAGCCCGGCCTTCTCGCGCTGTAGACTCTCTGTCACGCGGTACACTTCCCTGAGGAGGAGGCAAACACATGGCGGTGAGCTCCCAGGTGGAAGCGGGATGCCCAGACCCCTCATGCTGGAGACTGGCAGGCGATGCCGCGCTGGGGACGGAGGGCATTGGAGGAACGTGACCTTCTCTTGGAGAGCTCCTGTGGTTTGCAAGTGTTTTGGGCATTGCATGCGCCCAATTTGGGAGGTGAACTTACCCTCAATTTATAGACTGTGACCATCAGAGAAGTCTGCTAAGTCTCTGCAGTTCACGCAGACAATCCGTGACTGAACCAGGGTCCCCTCCTACCCCCAGACCCAGCTCATTCCACAGCCACTTCACGTGCCACCTAAGAATAGGCTGGATGGTCACTAAAGAGTCTGTCCAGGCTCCAAACTGCCCTATCCTATCCAGACTTCAGGGAATTAGAATCAATATTCTTCTCCAGCCAGATCTTGAAGGGTGAGAGCAGAATTTGTATTACCTTCCCTCCCATTCTCGCCCCACCCAGAGGCTGGCGCGGTATGCTTTTAGGAGCTCTGGAAGAACCACCTTTTCTTTCCCACCTTCCTCCCAAAGTCCCCAGATATCTGGACTTTTCACTACTGGGCCTTCATTTCTCTGACTTATGATCCAGCTGTAATGCAGAATTGAATGTATCTATTATAACCATGTATATCACTGTGCAAACGTGTTAATTGTAACAGGAGTTGTGAGGAAGGGGAGACAGAAGCAGGGAGGCTGTGAATCAGGGCAACTAGAGGGCAACTCAGCTGGGGAGGTAAGGGCTGTGTCTGGTTTGTTTACATTGATATCCTCGACACAGCGCCTGGCTTGGAGGTGTAATCAGCAAATAGGTGGAGGAAGAAAGAAAAGAGGGTAAAAGAGGTGAGGGGGAGCAAAGAAGGAAGAAAGGGAGGGAAGGAGGAAGACAGGAAGGAAAGAATGAAGGAAGGAGGAAAAGAAGGAAGAATAAAAGAGGAAGGAAGGATGGGGTAATGGGGCAGGTCTTCAGCATCACTCAGGGAAGAAAGGAAAGGAAAAAATAAGACATTGGGTGATATTGGGAAACTGGCTTCACTTCACAATTCTGTCTTCATTTTTCCTTCTCTGTTCTATACCATACTTTAGATGATTTTTAACCGCTCTCCGATCTTACTACAAGGGTCTATAGTTCCACGTTTCCAAACTGCTGCACAGCTTTTCACGTAGGGAGCATCTTGCAAGTTGATACAGGCGTCACTTCCCATGGGCTGTCAGGGCTGCCAGGCTGTGCACACACTGGGCTGGGCAAGGACCCCTCTGCCACCCCATCCATCTCATTACTGAGCTGGCAGAAACAGCACCAACATGCTGGTCCACAGGACTCTCCTGCCAAGCTCCTAATAACCTGATTCCTTCAGCATGATGTTTCTCTTTTCCCCATTTTATAGAATAATTGTAAAGTCAATTTACAGCAATAAGAGGCTGAATGAAATTCTAAGTTCAACTCAGACAATTCCAATTAAGCAACAAACCTTCTCTGGCTCCTGCAGAGATGCAAATTCTTGGCATTTTATTACCGATTATATTTAATTTCAACTTGAAGAAAAACAATGTATTTCCCATCATCCAAACTGGGTCTCTAAACCCCTGTCCGGGACTCTGCTCTGATGAGCGCTCTGTGAGCAGAGCTGCCCACTCCCGACTCTGGGCCCTGGAAGCTGAAGATCCTGGTGCTGTACTTTAGGGTCCCCCACCCCACCCTGTGTCCTGCCTCTCTCCAGGGGTGGCCAGGAGCTCACAGCTTTTCCTCTGCTCAGGAAAATCATTCACCAGGGACTTAAGGTCTGGGTTCTCACAGAGTATTTTACCAAATAGCCAGTTCCCAAATTCTAAGTTTTCTCTGGCTCTGCATACATAGCACCAGTGACCATCAGGGCTATATATACACACATTTGTATTAGAAATACATGTGAACACATGTACTGTTCTGTTTGTCTAGTAAACATATATCTGCTTGGATATTTGTACATCTATATATACACACATATATTCAGAAATATATTTTTGTGTCAACAAAAGAAAGGCACTTCTGAAAAAAAAGCCACTTAGATATTTGACTGAATGACCTCTAAAGTCCTTCTAACCTAGAGGTTCTAAAAGTGTATACATGGTAATATGTAAACTGAAAGGGAAAGAACCTGCAGTTGTTTGGAGTGGTAATTGGTGAGGCGTTTATGGTTACCCTTAGGGGAACTGCTGTTGGCTTTGTTTTAGGGGAGAGATGAGCTATGGAGCACTTCACAAGACATATTGTCAAGTGAAAAATGTAAATGCAGAACAGTATGCTTAGTATGCTACTGTTTTATAAAGGAAAAGCGTGTGTGTGTGTATGCGTGTGCACGCACATATATGTGTCTGTGCCTGCATATACATACAGCATACTCTGAAAGGATCCACAGGAAACCATGACCAGTGGCTCTGATGACTGCAGATCGGGGCTGTGTCGGGGACACAGACTTCTTTTTGAGCATATAACCTTTTGTGCCTTTTGAATTGCGTGCCTTGTCATAACTACTTACTCAAAATAAAAGTTAATTAAAAAATAAACAGAGAGTTGCTGCTTCTCAGCTGACCTTCATCTTTATATTACCTCTCTGCTTGATAGTTCTTTCTTTATCTCATTTTAAAATCTACTTCCGCTACCTTGAGCATCTTCAGAGATCAGGAAAATTAATTTTGCCTGTTCAGAATTCTTGCTGATCAGTGACTAAGCCTGTTTACCTCCCAGCTCCACCCTTTCCTCTCCCAGCTGCTCTGCTGCAGCACGAGGCAGCAAGACCCTGTGGGAGAGCCCGGGACTATCAGGAGAACTGGGCTCCATCCCTGTTATCCGGCACTAACTAGCTGCGCGGCTTTGGGCCCATCACTACACTTCTCTGAGCCTCAGTCTCTTCATGTATAAAATGAGTGTGAGTCACTGCGCCTGGCCCAGGATGATTTAAAGATCAAATGAGAGGATGTCAAATGATCGACATAAGTGAGATATATCGAATGCCCAGCACGGTACCTAGCGCAGAATAAATGTTTGCCAAATGAAGAAGTCACTGACTATAAGGATAAATGAATATACAAATAAACAAAGGAGGGTCCTCTGCCCTGAACCTCAGAGTACATTTGTTCTCAAACCTAAGACTACCAAGACAAGATAAATGGCTGATTCTTCAGGGACGCCTCCAGGTGAACCAGAGCATCAAAGTCCTCTCCATCTGCCCGTCTGCAACCCTACTCTATGGAGAACAAGCCAAGCCTCTCGCTGCACTGCTCTCCCGGCCTCCCTGGACGGGACATGCTCTCCAGGCCCCAGGATGTTCCCCGGCTACACAAGAAACTTCAAGCTTCTTGAATACAAGTTGTGAAGGTTCTGGAGTCATATTTCTCTCTTCCTCCCATCCTCCCTCCCTCCCTCTTTTTCAATTCTCAGCCTCCAGAGATTGTGTCTCTGGCTTGGTTAATTAAGATAAGACTTCAGAAAGCTTTGAATCCTCACGCTGTGATGTGACGCTCCAGCACTGGGTGTTTATTTCCATTTGCTGTTCTAATGCTTGTGCCTTCAGATGTTTGTTGCTTTTAGAGCTTGATTGAATTTTAAGAGCCTGCATCCTTAATTGTGTTTGTAAAGCTAAATGCCTGTACCTTGTTGACCTGTTCTCAGTGAGGAGGAACTGATTTTGCTTGTTCACAGTGAAATATGTTGTCCTTCCACAACTGGTCATCCAAGAATTGGAATGGAGGGGCTTAATTTAAGTCAGCTACTTGGGAGCTCTTTGTTTTTGTTTTGTTTTAACTGGAGACATCTTACTAGGGTGAAATTTCCAGCCCAAACACGTCTCCTTCCTTTTACCCCAGGCAATTAGCACCAAACGGTACAGGATTCCACACAGAGGTCACACCAGCACAGCAGTTTTACGTAGGCCTGTGGACCAAAATCCTGCCAGCAGCCACCCAGAGTGAGCACCTTCACTTCTGAACAAGGGGAGTTAATATCTATAAAACAAGTTCTGGTACGTAGCACTGCCCTTTTCCCTAAAATCGGCCTTTCGGTACTACCTGGTACCTTTCAGGATCAGGCACACAATTACTTTTTTCAGAATAAATGAATGAATGAAGAGTGCATGAACGAATGTGTGAGTAAATGATAGCCAGTCCGACTCTTGTAAGGATATTTTCTGCAGGCTTGTTATTCTCTAGGGAAAATCGGCAAGATGTGTATAACTCTTGGCATCTTGGGATAGTTACTTAAACCTCTGAACCTCAGTTTCCTCTTTGATAATAGCAGAACCTGCCACATCAGGAATTTTTTTTTTTTTTTTTTGAGACAGAGTCTTGCTCTGTCGCCCAGGCTGGAGTGCAGTGGCACGATCTCGGCTCACTGTAACCTCTGCCTCCCAGGTTCAAGCCGTTCTCCTGCCTCAGCCTCCTGAGTAGCTGAGACTACAGGCGTGTATCACCATGCCCAGCTAATTTTTGTATTTTTAATAGAGATAGGATTTCATCATGTTGGTCAGGCTGGTCTCGAACTCCTGACCTCGTGATCTGCCCACCTCGGCCTCCCAAAGTGCTGGGATTACAGGTGTGAGCCACCACGCCTGGCCCAGGATGATTTAAAGATCAAATGGGAGGATGTCAAATGATCCACATAAGTGAGATATATCGAATGCCCAGCACGGTACCTAGCGCAGAATAAATGTTTGCCAAATGAAGAAGTCATTGGCTCTATGGATAAATGAATATACAAATAAACAAAGGAGGGTCCTCTGCCCTGAGCCTCAGAGTACATTTGATCTAAAACCTAAGACTACCAAGACAAGATAAATGGCTGATTCTTCAGGGACTCCTCCAGCTTAAGGTGCAGACCCAGGCTTGATTCTGCCTCAGGTGTGCCTCTGCCTATAAACTAACCCCCATGGCTGGACACCATTGGCAGGTCGGGCCCTGAGAGATGTGGGTTTCCCCCTACTGGGACCACACAGTTGAATCTGAGGAACATGGTGAAAAAAATGGGCAGAGATGGACAGGCAAGTCCAGGACAGTGACACATGCCCCGTCAGATCATATGCTGATCCCGGAAGCCTTCCTGCCTCCCTCTGGTCCCCCTTGGCCTCCCAGGTCTCTACACGACGACAGTTACTTAGGGTCTGTCTGCTCACTCAGCATTTGCCCACAGACTCCCTCATATTTGTTTGTGGAAAAACGTGTCTTTCTAATCACAGAATGCATTTTCTGAGAACAGGGCTGTACATTTCTTGTCAATCCCAGGCAATGCTGGACACAGAACTGGTCTGCTTCACGGGGTCAGAATCCTAGAAGAGTGTTAGAAGAGTCTCAGGGAGCCACAAGCCCAAATCCACACTTCACAGGCCAGGAGACAGGGCCTCTGAGCGGCGAGGGGACACGCCCATAGTGCGGGGGTGGTGCTGGAGGACAGCAGAGGAGCGGACAAAGGCTGGACTCACATCTCCTTCTCCTGGTGGAGTTTGCAGGCCTCTTGCTGAAGGCTTTCCAGCTGCTGCTGAGCATCCTGGAGCTCCCAGGAGGTCCGCTCCAGCTCCCGGGCCAGCTCCTGGTTGGTAAGTTTCAGCTTGGTATTCTCAGCCTTGGTCTCATGCTTGTCATGATGCAGGGCTGTGCACTGACCTTCCAGCTGCAAAGGAATGGGGAGCAGAGGGGAATGAGGAGTGACCACCATCTTCACGAGGGCCTGCCCTGGCCTCACCTTGCTTTCCCCGTTTGGCAGGCAGGAACCGTCACTGCCACCCCTCACCGGCCTCAAGCCTAAATCGGCATTGTCCTCGCCTCAGTTCACACATACACACTCCTCTAGGCAGGAAGGAGCTTTCAGAGCACATCTTGTCTCTCCCCTGTCTCCACACAGGATCACTAAATAGTCCAGGAGGAACTGCTCCACTCAGAAAGACCACTAACAAAGGAACTTCCACAGTCCGTCCGTGTGAATGGCCTTGAGATCTAACCTAAATCCGTCTTGTTGTCCTTTAAGCCAATTTCTTTTCCTTGGTCCTTGATGGAGAAGGGGAACAGCTAAATGGCCTGCTTCATAAAACCATCCTTCCCAATTTCGCATGCTGATAGTAAATCTATATATTCCCTTTTCTCCTCTCAACTCCAATTCCATTAATCTAGAGAAGCTTTTAAGGGTAGCCAGAAGCCCTGAAAATTCTTAGGAAATAACTAAAACAGTTCAAACAGAACACAGACCTTTTCTATGTCTCTAAAGTAACTAAAAACCTTGCATTTTTATAGCTTCAGCTTTTCTTGGCTGTTGATTATGCTGTGCAGAGCTTCTAATCCTCTCACCAGAGGAAGAATCAAACCAAGGTACATATATCATAATAAATTTAGTTTAATGAATGTGGCCAGTAAGGGGAGGAAGAAGTAACAACAAGGAATTTGGTGTGATTCTCAAAAGGCTCCTGTGTAATCAGGCAAGCATGCAGTAATTACATCGAGTGGCAATCATTCATTTGAGGGATAAATCTAATTGCTAGGAACTTAATGCATAATAGAGAGGAAGAGAAGGAGTAGGAGAAGCAAGGTGCAACTGTGGATGGAGAAACGGGGAGGCAGCTGGCAGTTCCCGGAGTAGAAATCGTCTTGCTGCAGAAGGAAAGAGACCTAAATTCATAGCTTGGGTAGCAGCAGCAGTGGAACAGTCTCTTGTCTTAGCAGGGCTGTCTTCAAGTAGATGTTAATGTGCTGCTAAAAATAACCCTCTCTATTGAAATGGAAGCAACGTGTCCTGGTCTGTCCAGAGCTGGATTCCTTCCGGCACCGGGCACAACAAAACAGGAGGCCAGTGGCACGCCAGCCCGTCTCCCTCAGGAGCCCTTGCTAAGGAGTGGAGGCCGCTAAGTAGGAGGCTTGCCTAGGCCGTCAGTCTTTCTGGGCTCATCAGCCAGGCACTCCCGGCCACAGAGACGCTGCCCTGCAGAGCGCACCACCCAGCCTGCCTCCTGGAGGCTCAGGTACATCAGAGAGGAGTGCCTGGTGTCTGCATTCTTCCTGCAGGGATGGGAGTAGCCACAAAGGATGCCAATGACCCTGTCCAGGCACCACACGACCAGGGAAGACACAGGCTGACTTCGGAAGCGCCTGTTCCAGCAGAGGCATCCATGACCATTCTGGACGGAAGAAACTTATCTGTAGCCTCCCGCCAAATATCGTGGTAGACAATGTCTCTTGTACCTCGGCATTCCCCTCTTTTCTTATACAGGAGGCAGGAAACAAATTCCAGTTTTGGCATTCTTGTGGCTCCTGGGTATAATTATAGGAACATGTCTGCAGATACCTCATGGGGGAATGCTTGGCAACTTTTCCAAGTTAAACACCTGGTATTGGAGAAGTAAAGGTTTTATCTTGGGATCACCTGTGATTTTAAATGCTATCTGTTGTACAACTAAATCGTTCTTCTCAGGTTAAAAAAAATCAAAAGTCCTTAAGTGAATGGCAGGGAAGGTGGGCAAGAGGCAGAGGAAAGGATGGAGAGAAGAGCCAGGTACTCTGAGGCCATGACAGCAACATACCCTTTTCTGCTTCTGGGTGAGCTGCTCCAGCTCCTGCTCCTTACATAACAGTTTCTGTTCCAGCTCTTGACTGCGGGCTTGAAACCTCTCTGTGTCCTGCCAAGCCAGAAAGAGGGATACACAGGACCCAAATGTAGCACCCCTGGGTTATAGATTTCTTTTCCCACCTTGAACCTACTCAACATCAAAACCCATTCTATTAGACCACGGGGCTTTTCCCATAGCACTGCAGGGCTCTGGTAACCTGCCTGCCCCATCAGGGAGGACCAAATGAGACACAGATAATGCAAGCACTTAGTGAGGCAGGATGCAAACTCCCAGCAAGCATGGCCATGTCCAGTGACTGTGCACCGCCACCCTCCTCTCTACCAAAAAAAGGAGCAGTGTCAGCCAAAGGTGGAATACTGAACGGGGAGAGTTGGGGCCTGAGTTCAAACATCAGGCCTTGGTCTCCTCATGTGCAAACTGGGGGAGGCAGATGACCCCTCGGACGCCTTCTGACCTGGATACTCTGTTCGAGGTTGGGCACTGGCATCGGATCCCTTAAATTGGCCACACTCTGGAAACACAGGGCCATTACCTGTTCCTCTTGAGGGTCTAAGTGTTCATATTTTCCCACTGTGATTGAAGTCTCCCGGGCCCTGCTCCTCAGGATGTTTTAATATCTGCTCCTTCCCTAGGCTGGGCTTTCCCCACAGAGAGGTGCTGAAGCAGGTGAGAAGGGGCCTGGCTGTGGGATGAGGAGGAAAGTGTGTGGGCCGTCGGGTGCCTGATGCTCTCAGCAGAGCCAGATCTGTGGTGTAAGGGCCCTGAGCCGAGCGGGACACAACTTGGGTTCTGGCCCCGGCTTCACTCAACTAACTTGCTTCATTCTTCTGGATCACTGTTTGTTCACAGAATAGAAACAAAAATACCCATGCCATCTGCAGCACTCCACTTGCCTGAAGGCGGAATGGAGGTACAAAATGTGCAGGAAGAGAAGAAACCATTGTAACTGCCATATAACTCACTACCGGAGCCCCCTGGGGTTCCTGAGATACGGAAGGACTCTCTCCCAAGGAGGACAGCGTGGGATGCTGCACTAGATGGGTGTCCTGGCATGACAGCGGCCGCAGCACGGTGGTGGAGCACGGCCCCCTCGGGCCAGAGGCCTTTGGACACCTCCACTCAAAGGCTCAGGGTGCTTCCTTGTGCATCCTCTGTTGATGTGACCAGGTTCTTCTGCCCATTTTTAGGCAGGTAAATGGGCAGAAGAACCACAGGGACAGCCTGTGACTATCCTCATGTTAACCACATGAATGGCAGAGGTACGATCTGACCAGACAGCACCTGCTCCCAACATTTACTTCCAGAGAATCAGCCCCAGTGAATCTGCCTCCTTCAACTTGGCTGCTGCTCCCCGTGAAAAATGCTGGGAGCAGCGAGAGGCTCCAGCATCCCCGTGATGATGTGGCTGCACCCCCAATGGGCCTACAGAGCATCCTCACAATGCACCAGGACAGAGCGTTGAGGTGGTCTGGCATCACATCCTGGGGTTGGAAGGTGCAAGTGATTAGGTACTTCCTTCATGGTCAGACAAACTGATATGTGTCAAGCCAGGACCCAAATTCTGGTCCGAGGGTTCAACCTTTTCCGTGATGTCAGAAACTGTAGCACCACTATCCTTGATCTATCGCCAGGCAAAAGCCTTTGTATCTAATGGCTTAATAGTGCTGCAAAAACATCTGAGCAGTTTCCATGTTCATGCAAAAGGCATAAATCTAAGCACTGCGCTTTAAAGGCATTTGGTGTCAAGAGGGGAGAAGGAGGGAGCAGAAGGGGACAGGGAGGCTGGATCACCTGCAGTGACGCAAACTTCTCCTTGAATTTTTTTCCTGTGACCTCTGCCCTTGCCCATCCCCTATGCCCTGGCCCAGCATTTGCTTCTGAAATCACGTCTTTTCCTTTAGCTAGGACCTCTGACCTGTAGTCATGGCCGGGGCAGAGGGGACAAGATGTCGCATGGAGCTCAGCCTCTCTGTGCAGGGTGTCATTTGGGATAAAGGGGGTGACTGCCCTATGGCAGGGAGGTGGGGTGGGGAGCTGCTGTTCTCAGAAACGATTTTGGGGTCTGCTGGTGAGAAGTGTGTGAGTTCTGTCTGCCATCAACCAGGTTGAGGGGCAGGAGCAGCCAGAATGCTTTCAGGCTCTACAAGAGGGAGGAGGCCTGGAAATGCTGACAAGCCTCCAGAGGGCGCTAATTGGAGGACATGACCAGATGTTCTTGAAAAGCATTCCGATTCCCTCTCAGTTTGAATGACATCTGTGATAATAAACGGAGCAGTGGTGTTGATAATCTGAGGCAGCATAAAACTTAACATTGGTTCAAGAGAAGGGGTTGTGATAACAGTCAGGCTTAGTGCTGAGCGGCAAGGGAAGCTGCCATCTAACATCAAAGTCTTTTCTGCTGAGAACCCACCAAGTAGGTAGCCCCAAAATGGGTACTAGAGAGTTCTCTGAAGCTTTTTTTTTTGGAGACGGAGTCTCGCTCTCTCGCCCAGGCTGGAGTGCAGTGGCCTTTTTTTTTTTTTTTTAAATTTAGTTTTATGAACATGTTTCCAGAAGGATCCTGCTTACCTTGGCAAAGAAGAGGATTTTGCCAATCCTGACTTCTTGAGACAAATGGCAGGGCTTGGGAAGGGGCTGATAAGGGTCAGACCAGGAAGAGGGAAGGGAGTTATCCATTTCCTCAATGGTATCTGTGGAAGGCGGGATTGATTTGTTTTTTCTTGGCTGTGAAATTTTCCATGTGCCTAAGGGTAAAGGATGGGTAGCACAGGCTCTAACGCTTGTCCACTTAGGAGAGCTGCTGGGCACAGGGTGAACTGGGCTGGTGCATTTGGGCGGGCCTGCCATATAATTCTAGGAACAGTCAATGTCAGATCAAATTTAACAGGGAAAGCATGAACCTCCATCCTTTCATTCATTCACTTATTCATTCATTCATTCATTTAACAAATATTTGTTGAGCACCTGGTATGTTCCAGGCATTGTCTATGTGCTGAGGATACTTTAGTTAATAAAAGATAAAAATCTCTGCTCTTTTGCAACTTATATGTTAGCAGGAGAAGACAGACACTCAATGAAAATAAACTAGGATATTACATGTCCTGTGTGAAGGTGATAAATGTCTTGACAAAAAAATACAGCAGAGAAAGAGGGAATCAACAGTGCATGGACAGAGGCACCACAATCTTAAACTTGGGGGAGACAGAGCAGATATGTCAAGCTGGCCTCAGAGCCAAGCCTGGGGAGTGCACACTTACCTTCAGGAGAAACTGCTCCTTCTCACTTTTGATTTGCTGTTCCATCTCCTCATAGAGATGCTGGATTTCTTCATCATAAGCAGCAATTTTCCTACAGAGATGGCAAAAGGAGAGTCTGCATTAAGGTTCCCCTATCCCACAGCGACAGCTCCTGGAGCTCAGACACCAGTCCCCTACTCTGGAGCTGTGGGTGTGGGGGTGACAGCATCGGTCAGGTCGGTCAAGGCTACAAGATCAGTCCCTCAGGATCAGCTAACCCGACAAGGGATGCAGACCACAGAGGCCTTGTGGCACCTGCCCCTACAACTGGTAGGTTTCACGTGGCCTCTCCTCCTCCCATCCCCCAGCCATCACTCCTAGATTATCCCTGTGCTCCTCGGTGAAGTTTCCCTGGACCATCTCCCTTTATTGTACTTTCTTTCAACACAAGCCCAGAGGCCTCTGCCAGACATATCATCCCTGTTCCCGCTGATCCCCACGCTCATAGACCATATGAAGTTGCATTGTGTGGGTTTCTTTCCTGTTGTTTCCTGGTTTATCTTGTCCCTGTTTGCATGCTTTCTCTCTGCCTGTCCACATCCAGACCCTCTATCACTGCACTCTCAGAGGACTCTCCCTGTATGCTTGAGTTTGTGTGATCCATGTTTCTCATGAGATTCTCAAGAGATTCCACGATGATGACAACAAGAGCTACCACACCCCTACCACAAAGCAAAAGGCACGATGTCTAGTGCCCGTGCCATCTCAGGCTCCAGGGCACAAGCAGACAGTGCGAGACAGGCGAGGCTGGTTGGAGGATGGCGATGACAATGAGATGTCCTCATCCCCACTCTTCTTCTCAGCATTCTCTCCCCACTCTTTCCTCTCCCCACCCAGAAAGCGAGTACCTAGGCACTCTGCTCCTATAGGGAGATGAAGACAAACGCAGCTATGGGGACAAGGTGTGTAGGTCATCCCCAGGGATGGATCCTTTTCTGTTTCTCTCTCTCCCCATGATACATCCAACTTCTAATGCCCCTCCAAATTCAAACAGGAAAGATCTGGTATTAGCATTGGAACTGAAACTGGGAGTTATCACACTGAATTACTGACATTCCCAGGTAGTTGCATTTTCATACCTTTTTTGCTGACCATGCAGTGAAAGACCCTCTTTGTGGCCGCTACTCCCGATCTTCTCCCTATCCTGTTCAGGAAACTCCAGGCTCCGTGAACAGGCTCATGTGGCTCTCAAGACCTGTTCTGAACATGCAACAGACACACACACATACACACACACACACACACACACACATTTGGCCCCTGCCATTCTAAACTTAAATGATGGCAAGCCCACTGTGCCCTTTATTTAAGAGACTTCAATAATTGAGGTTCTCAATTTTAAGAAGTACTAGGAAGATTTCTGAACTGAACATAAAGGATGGGAAGATATTTATTCCCCGGAGCCCTCCATCATTTTAACCCCTACCTCCCATGTCCACTTGGGCCTCCAATCCAGGACCAGACCTTCTCTGCTGTCCAAGGCTTTGCCACAGCCCAATTTCTGCCCCTTTCTCATCTGCCACCTGTTGAGAGTGTATTTTCACCATGTGCACAGGTGAACAATGAACAGGAGTCATTTTGATTGGCATCCTTCCAGCTTTACAGAAACCACAGATCTGACCCAGACAAAGGAACAGTGTGCGAGACTCCATGGTCAGGGACATTCATCACAGAGCACAGCCTTGGAGTTGCCTTGCTTGGCTGCACCCCCAAGACCAGAAACTTGATTTTGAGCGACTGTACAATAATGGCCCAGGGTGGGCTCAGTGAGAGATGACAGTCCTCCCAGACCTTCGCAAGCTGGGACCCTGTCTTTATGGATACGTCCTGCATCCCTTACTCTTTTTGGCTAAGAGTAAGAAATCTCTTCTTGTTAAATGACCAATGTTTGGGATGGTTACTTTTGCTCTGAGTTAACTCCTAAGAATTAAAACAAAATCTTGGAGGAAAAGTAAGGAAAAAGGCTCATGCTGTTGACCCTGATACTTCAGTGACAGAAGCAGACACGGTTTGAAGGAACTTTCAGAAAGCAAGATGATTTCTCTTGGTCCCTGGAATTATCTTCCTGTGTTTGAAGAAACTCAGATGCTAGATGGTAAATGATATCAAGGAAAACTCTAGACAGAGATTCCAGCTATATAAATACTGTAAAACTAATAAAGTAAGATGAGAGAAACTTAAACATTGATTTGGCTCTGCTAAAGCAATTCATATAAAGTTATTCATATAAATGGCTTACCATTTATTTCTAATAACCATGCAGGGCATTAATTCTATAATATAATTAAGTGTGCTATATTAACTTTGATCTATGTCTTATTTGATTAAATTAACACACTCTAAGTTTTTCATGCTTGCATACCAGCTTGCTGGTATGTGAATTAAGTTATTTTACAAGCCACTAAAAAATAACTGGCAGGAAGATAGATACAGTGTTTGAAGAGTGCCTCCCCCTAGCCCTCACTCACAAAGGCTAGGCCTACTGCAAAGAAGCGCTGGGATTCCAGGTGGGCATCCAAGATCCTGGGCCCAACCAGACTCATATATGCAACCAAGCTTTTGGAAAGCTGGCCTGCTGTGAGACTCTCCAGGCTTGAACGACTATGACAAGACTGGGTTAGAACACACTAATCCCAGGAATGGGGAAGATTAAGGTGCTGTGCGTACCACTCATGTCACTAAACCAGTGCAGGGATGAGACGACTTGCATTCGGATCCCAGAACCAGCTCCTTTCCTCAGTGTGACCTTGGGTAAGTACTCTGACCTCCTCACATCCTGGGATGGTACCTGCCCTGTGTTCCTCCCTACATTGTCATAAAGAACACACGAGAGTAGATGTGGAAAGTGTCAGAACCACAGAGCCCTCAGTCAGTGTAAGGGATGATTTACTGTTGTCATTACAATCACGGGCTGTGGAGGGCAAAGGGCAGTGCTCCCCAAGGGGAAGAGCCTTGGTTTCAAGGATGAAAGACCTGCTGGGTTTGGAAAGGCTGATGCAATTGGGAAGATGAAGAAGAAATAGCTCAGTCAATAAAAGTGCCTGTCAAACCAATCCATTAGAGACCCAGACTGTGTGTGAGCAGGAGCCAGCAGCCAGGAGCCCGTGTCTGCAGGAGCCCTGCAGTGGCTGTGCGGGCAGTGGCAGCAAGAGACACTAAAAAGATGTGCACATATGGTGAGTCACATTCAGCAAGGCTCGCCACATTCTGCCATCAGGGGAAAGAGACAACTCATCATGTTTGCTCATCATATACATCCTTGTTGCCACAATTTCTAAAATCACTTATATTGCCTAATGCATATAAACAGACTTTGAAGTCTTCTCTGTGAAGATTTTGCCATCTATTCCAACCCTCATGACCCCTTCTCTGAACTCTGATGACAGCAGATGTCTTCATTTGATCATTTAACAATTAATCTTAAATAGTCCTGAACAACTGTTTCATTTGGGTTCGTGTTGTCTCAATTAGATTATAAACACGCAGGCATTTATGTCACCCGCAGGGCCTGAACTCAAAATGTTAATGCCAAAAACCTGTAAAAACTCAATTTACAATTTTGGGTACCAAACTCAGAAGCTCATGGACCATTTTGAGGGAACACTAGATACCATGTGAGTTAAAGAACTTCAGAGTTGGAAGGTTTGTCTGATCTAACTACCTGTTTCTCCGGTGTTAAAAATCTTGTGACAATACCATGTCAAGTACTTACCCAGACTAGGTTAGAATACCCCCAGTGACAGGGAACTTGCTGTTTCTCTAAGTAGTTATTTCATCTTTGGGATATTCTGGCTCACAGAAATCTGTCTTTCCACGACCTTACTCTTCTGCATAAAAGCCTTTCATGTATTTCAGAACGGCATCAAGACTTCAAGGGTTCAGGTCAAGCCTCTCCACTTCCTGCAACTGTGTCTCACTGGATTTTTTTACAAATCCCTTTACAATTCCCTTCATGCTTCTTCAAATGGGCTGCAATGATCTTTCTCAAGCTATGCGAGTGCCAAACTGAATGCCCAGTGTATGAGACTGATGTGTGCAGATTAGAGCTATTTCCTCTCTTGTTCTAGATGCTGCATAACTATTCATACAGCCTAAAACCCCATTAACTTTTCTTGGCAGCCACATTACAGTGGATGTGTGCTGAACCCATTTGCCAACTACAATCTCTAAATCTTAGGTCTGTGTGATCATTTTTGTTTTAAAGATGGTACTACTGAATCGTATCTCCTCTACTTTGTGCTTCTGCCATTGGCGTTTTGAACACAGAGCAACATCTCAAATGTAATTCTGTTAGATTTTGTGTTTGCTAGTTCTAGTCCATCTTTCCAGCCCATCACTATGCTAACAAGTCTCAGTTGGTCATGTGGTGTATTCAGTGACTTTCCAAGTTTTGTTGACATTCTAAATCTTCAATCAGGATGTAGGCTAAATAATCTATAATGTTGGTTTTTGTCATTTAATGTATCTGAGAGTTATTTAAAAGGCAGTTTATTAAAAAAGGTACAAGATATTGGTTTCTAGTTTTATTATATTATACAAAGAAATGGTTTTGGAATCTATTGGTTATCTTTCCTCTGTAGCCACAAACATGACCAATTTTTGCACAACTTCTATGAGAGGGACATATATTCTATTTGTAAGGCACACAATTCTATATTCATCTCTAAAGTGTGTTCATTGATGGTTTCACATACTTTAATCTTCCACGTACTTTTGCCTGACTAATGTGTCAAATCTGAAGCAAATTTGTTAAAGTCTAAAGTCTTTTTTTTTTTTATTAAGTTTTCTTTATTTTTTCTAAAAGCTTCTGCCATATGTATCTTGCTGTTGTGTTATTTGGCGCATAAAGCTTAATGTATGTTGTATCTTCTTTATGGATGGAACTTTTTTCATTACTTCAAAATATTCCCTTTTTGTCTTCCTTTACTCATGCCATTGGAAAAATGTTAGACAAAATGAGGACCACAATCTGTAGCAGAGACCTCTGAGATGTTCATTAGTGACATGTAGGCATAGCCATTCAACCTGTCTTCTCTTAGCCATTCTCAAAAC